GACTGGTAGAACACTGAGACTACGGTCCTTGGTCACTGTAAACTGAACCTACGCTAGTGGCTCAATTTTTAGCCAAAAAATAGACTTGTATAGAAGAGTAGCGTAATGGTTATGAATCAGGCTGTGAACCTTAAGGTCAGCAGTTCGAAACTACCAGCCGCTCCGCAGGAGAAAGATGCTCCTGTAAAGATTTACAGTCTCGGAAACCCTGTACAGGGTCACTATGGGTCAGAATTGACTCGACGGCACTTAACAACAACGCCAACAACAACCACACTGGTGAAGTGTGCATCCCTTAGAATGCTCAATCATTTGAGATCAAAAGGGCAGGATCTACTCAAGAACAAAGTTCAAAAGGATTAGGGAAGCATGAAGAATGGGGAAAGGAAACACAGGAGGGAGGAAGGTATATGGTGTTACATCGAAAGGCCCGAAATCAATGAAATAACACACAATGTGAATGAAAATGGAATGGCAAACTCATCCTCTCTGTAACCTTCACCTAATTCACAGAAAGAAGTTATTTTTAAAAGATTATTGACTTTTCCCACGAACTTTTGAAACACCCTTATTTTGTGTTGTTTTTTGCATAAGGTGTCAATTGTTGTTGTTAAGTGCCATAGAGTCAATTCTGACTTATAGCGACCCGATGTACAACAGAATGAAGCACTGCCTGGTCCTACACCAACTACACAATTGTTGTTACACTTGAGTCTACTGCTGCTGCCACTGTGCCAATCCATCTCATTAAGGGGTCTTCCTCTTTTTCTCTGACCCTCCTCTTTACTAAGCATGATGTCCTTCTCCAGGGACCAGTCCCTCCTGATAACATGTCCAAAGTATGAGAGATGAAGTCTCACCATTCTGGTTTCTAAGGAGCATTCTAATTATGCTTTTTGCAACACACACCTTTTCAATCCTCTGACAGTCTGTGGTGCCTTCAATATTCTCCAGCACCACAACTCAAATGCACCTCAACTCTTATGGTCTTCCTTATTCATTGTCCAACTTTCACATGCATATGAGGCTATTGGAAATACCGTAACTTGGGTCAGGTGCACCTTAATCTTCAAACTGGTATCTTTCATCTTTAACACTTTAAAGAGGTTTTGTGCAACAGATTTGCCTAAAGCAATATGTTGTTTGAACTCTTGGCTGCTGCTTGCATGAGTGTTGATTGTGGATCCAGGCAAAGTGCAGTCTTTGACAACTTCAGTCTTTTCTCCATTTATCATGATGTTATTTATTGGTCCAATGGTGAGGATTGTTGTTTTCTTTACACAGAGGTGCAATTTATTCTGAAGGCTTTGATCGTCATCAGTATTTTCAGTCCTCTTCACTTTCAGTAAGTAGAGTTGTAGCATCTGCATATAGTAGGTTGTTAATGAGTCTTCCAACAATCCTGATGCCATGGTCTTCTTCATATAATCCAGCTTCTAGGATTGTTTGCTCAGCAAACAGACTGAGTAAGTACGGTGAAAGAATGAAACTCAGTTCACACCTCTCCTGATTTTAATCCATTCAGTTTCTTCTTGTTGCATTCGAACAACTGCCTCTTGGTCTATATACAGGTTCCTCGTGAACACAATTAAACATTCTGGAATATCTATTCTTCTCAATTTTGTCCATAGCTTGTCATGTCCATACAGTCAAAATCCTTTGCATAATCAACAAAGCATAAGCAAATATCTTTCTAATGGTATTCTCTGCTTTCAAACAAGATTTATCTGATGTCACCAGTGATATCAGATACTCTCTTCTGAATCTGGCCTGAGCTCCTGGCAGCTCCCTGTGAATGTCCTTCTGTAGCCATTTTAATTTTACCTGCATGTGATATTGTTAATATTGTTCAGTGATATTATTTGAAAATCGAGCCACTAGGTAAATTCAGTCCCAGATCTGAAGAGTGACTCAATGGCATTCAGTTGAGTCACCTCTCTTTGGAATGGGTACAAATATGGATCTCTTCCAATCAATGGGCCAAGTTGCTGTCTTACAAATTTCTTAGCATAGATGAGTGAGCGCCTCCAGTGCTACATCAGTTTGTTGAAAGATTTCAGTTTGTATTCCATCAATTTCTGAGGCCTTGGTTTTCACCAATGCCTTCAATGCACCTTGGAGTTTTCCCAACAATACCATTGGCTCTTGATCATATGCTACCTCTTGAAATGGTTGAGCATCGACCATTTATTTTTGGTACAGTGACTCTGTATATTCCTTTCATCTTCTCTTAATGCTTTCTGCATCATTCACTATTTCACCACAGAATCCTTCAGTGTTATAAGACAAGGCTTACATTTTTTCTCAGTTCCCTCAGTTTGAGAAATGCTGAGCGTGTTCTTCCCTGTCGATTTTCTAACTCCAGGTCTTTGCACATTTCATTATAATACTTGACTTTGTCTTTTAGAGCTGCCTTTTGAAATTTTCTCTTCACCTCTTTGACTTCCTCATTTCTTCCATTCACTTTAACATCTCTATGCTGGAGAGCAAGCTTCAGACTCTTGTCCAAATATCCATTTTGGTCTTTCCTTTCTTTCCTGTCTTCTTAATGATTTTTTGCTTTCTTCCTGTATAATGTTCTTGATGGGATCCCACAACTCTTCTGGTCTTCAGTCATTAGTGTCTAATGCATCAAATCTGTTCTTGAGTTGGTCTCCAAATTCAAGTGGGATATATTTAAGGTCTTATTTGGGCTCGAATGGACTTGCTTTAAAATTTTTTTCAGCTTCAGCCTGAACTTGCATATGAGCAATTGATGATCTGTTCCACAGTCTGCCTCGGGCATTGTTTTGCTGGATGATACTGAGCTTTTCTATCACCTCTTTCCACAGGTTTAGTCAATTTGACTCCTGTGTATTCCATCTGGTGAGGTCCACGTCACCTTTTGTGTTGTTTAAAAAAGATGCTTACAATGAAGAAGTCATTGGTTTAAAAAAAAAAAAAATCTATCTGCAATCTCCAGCATCATTTTTGTTCACCAAGGCCCTATTTTCCAACTGCTGATTCTTCTTTGTTAACAACCTCTCCATTCCAATCACCAGTAATTATCAATACATTTGATTGCACATTTGATCTATTTCAGACTGAAGAAATTGGTAGAATTTTTCAATTGCATTATCACTGGCTTTAGTGGTTGGTACATAAATTTGAATAATAGTGGTATTAACTGGTCTGTTTTGTAGGCTTATGATATTATCCTATCACAGAGAGCACTGTACTTCAAGATAGATCTTCAAATGTTCATTTTGATGATGAATGCAATGCCATTCCTCTTGAATTTGTCATCCCAGCATAGTAAACCATATGAGTGTCAGATTCAAAATGGTCAATATCAGTCAATTTCAGCTCACTAATGCCTAGAATATCAATCTTTATACATCCCATTTAATTTTTGACAACTTCCAATTTTCCTAGATTCATACTTCATACATTCCATATTCCTATTATTAATGGATGTTTACAGCTGTTTCTCCTCATTTTGAGTTGTGCCCCATGAGCAAATAAAAGTCCCCAAAGCTTTACTCCATTCATGTCATCATGGTCAGCTCTACTTGGAGGAAGTAACTCTTCCCCAGTCATCTTTTGAGTGCCTTCCAATCTGAGGGACTTGACAATATTCCGGGGTTATCTGACAGTGTTCCACCATTTTCATAAGGTTTTCAGTGGCTAAATAATCAAAAGTAGCTGTCTCTCTTTTGTACTATTCTACCTTAATCTGGAAATTAGGTTGATACCTGTCCACCATGGGTGACCCTGCTGTTATTTTAAATACTGGTAGTTACCAGGACTCCTGTTGTACCTTACCAAGTCATGATAATTTGATAGATTGATTTGTTCTATATTATAATCAAAACAACAGTATACAAAAAGGACAAATATTGTAGGATTCCACTTATATGAAATACCTAGAATAGGAAAATGTATAGAGACCAAAATGTATCAGTGGCAGGAGGGAGGGGGAATGATGAACCATTGCTGAGGGGATGCTGAACTTCACTTAAGGGTGATAGAAATATTTGGGAATGTCTAACAGTGATGGTTGCATGCCATGATGAATATAATTACTGTCACTGAATCGTATATGTCAAAAATGTTGAAATGGCACAAATATTTTATGATATACTTAACACAGTTTCAATGCCATCAGGTAAGTTTATGTTATTAGGGCATTCATATTTATTTCTAAGACTAAGTTATGAAGGACCATTGTGTTATAAGTTTATATTCTGATATTCCTTATATTAGAAAGTAACAAATCCATTTGTTGTTGTAATTGTTGTTAAGTGTCATAGAGTCGATTCCGACCCATAGCGACCCTGTAGAGGGTTTCTGAGGAGCACCTGGTACATTTGAACCGCCAACCTTGATTATCCTAAAGTGCCATGCCTAGACTCTAACAAATCTATATTTCATTTAAAATTCTTTGTAGTCTTACAGTTTTTGTTAACTTATACTCTTTCAATCAAGATTATTTCAGTGTGATTTAAATATAATACATGCATTTCTCCTGTGTTAAAAACAACAACAAAAGAAAACTAGTGGAATAGTTTCCAACATCACAGCAACATGCAAGTCACCACAGTGCGACAAATAGACAGAGAAACAGGGGATAAGGTATGAGGGATAGGTGTAACTTCCTTCTTTTGCATGTGAAAATCCAATGATCTTCCCACCAGTTATTAAAGAGACTATTATTCACACACAGATTATGAAATAAAATGGCTCTCACATCCCCGGCAGCACCAGGGTCCAGAAGGCGGTATACATGGGACAGTGGACGTGACACAGGGACTGGAGGACACAGAGGTCAAAGAGGGATGGACCCAGTTAGAACAAGAATTTAGCCACGAGTTACCAATTAACTGGGTTTCACTAGTTTTCCTTTAAATAAATGAAAAACTACAACCTGAGTAGAGGCCTCTGTGGCTTCAGTGTGTGGGCTCTTCAGTGCTGGACACCGTGTTTGGTTCAGTTTGTGCTCGGCAGGACGGGCGGGAGGCATGGCCCTCACCTTGGAATCAGAGCTGCTCGTGGAGGACAGCGACAATGAGAGACCCAAGTGGGACAACAAGTTCCAGTACCTCCTGAGTTGCATCGGGTTTGCTGTGGGGCTGGGGAACATCTGGAGGTTCCCATACCTGTGCCAGACCTACGGAGGAGGTAAGGGGCCCCACCCATGGGGGATCCAGGCCTGTCCCGTGTGTCCTGCAGGTGGGAAGAGGACAATGTCTGGTGTGTGGTGCTGGCTCATCCTTCCTGGCCTGTTGTTGTTGTTAAATGCCATTGAGTTGGTTCCAACTCTTGGCAACCCTGTATAGGGTTTCCAAGAGCGACTGGTGGGTTTGAACCACCAACCTTGAGGTTTGCAGTCCAATGCTCATCCCCCAGCACCACACTAGTAGCTGTTCCTATTAGGTATCCATCCACCAACCCCCACAGACCAACCTGACCCATGTGCCCAGTCCTAGAGTGTCCATCCCTTCCCAAATGTCAGGGAACCCTTCCAAACAGATGCTAGTGAGCAGAATTTGTGACACCATTCTTTCCTTGTCACTTCTGGAAGCGGTGGCCGGTTTATACATCCAGAATATTCCAGAGTCTCTAAGAAATGATACCACGGCCTTAGATTCCAGATGGCTTCAAAACGTTTTTGGGAAAATTCCATTATCTTTTCATCCCATTCTCCATGAGCATTTTGAGACCCGCCCCCCCCATATGCATTTCATAATATTTGCTGAGTGGTTCCACACATGGAAATCAATCCTAAAAAAGTATTTTGAAGTACAGAAAGCCCCCACAAGTGTCTATGAGTACATCTGTTCACAAATTGGACTGTTTTTCACCTTCCAAACCACCTCTGGAGCGGCGAGGACTGGCAGGCAGATACTCGGTACACTGTGACTCAGCCCCAGTGCCTATTTAAGGATCCCTGGTGGCACAGTGGGTTAAACATTGGGCTGCTCTCTGCAAGGTTGGCAGTTCAAACCCACCAGCTACTCTGAAAGAAAAAACTGGGACTGTCTGCTCCCGTAAAAACTGAGAGCCTTGGAAAACCTGTGGGGCACTTCTATTCTGTCCTACAGGGTCATTGTGAGTCAGGATCAACTAGATGGCAGTAGATAGGTGACGATAGAGGGCTTGCATGGAGACCTGGTGTGGCGTTGTGGGTTAATGCGGCAGACTGCAAAGCTGTTTGAACTGCAAGGCAGCGGTTCAAGCTCACCAGCTGCTCTTTGGAAACCCTACACAGAGTTGCTATGGGATGGAATCGACTCAACAGCACTTAACAACAACAAGTGTATGCACTTAACAACAACAAATGTAGGAAAAAGCAGTCCTGGTAGCATAGTGGATTATGAGCTAGGTTGCTACCACAAGGTCAGCAGTTCGAATCTACCCATCGCTCCACAAGAGAAAGATGGGGTTTCTGCTCCCATAAAGATTTACAGCCTTGGAAACCCCATACAGGGTTGCTATTCACCAGAACCGACTCTACAGCACCCACCACCACCATCACCATACGGGGTCCTGGAGTCCTGGTGTGGTGTTGTAACATAAGCTCTGGACTGTTAACCACAAGGTCAGACACTAATTCAAACCTATCAGCCACTCCTTGAGAACCTATGCAGGCTCGCTACGAGTTGGAACCGACTCGACGGTACTTAACAACAACGCTTTATATAGAGTTGCTATATGGAGTCCTGGAAGGAGCTCTGGCAGCATAGTGGTTGTGAATCGGACTGCTAACCTCAAGGGCAATGGTTTGAAACTACCAGCCATTCTGCAGGAGAAAGATGAGGCTTTCTGCCTCCCATAAAGATTTACAGCCTCGGAAACCCTGTACAGGGTCGCTATGAGTCAGAACCGACTCCATGGCACCATATGGGGTTCTGGAGTCCTGGTGTGGCGTTGTAACGTAAGCACTGGACTGTTAACCACAAGGTCAGCAGTTCAAACACACCATCTGCTTTCAGAAACCCTAAACAGGGTCGCAATGAGTTGGAACCAACTCAACGTCACAGAACAAGAAGAACTTGATTATTATTGAACCCCCGGATGGTTCAAAAGTTAACACTCTTGGCCACTAACTGAGAGATTCAAAGTTTAAGTGTACCCAAAGGCACTTCCAAAGACCAGCTCTGCCATCTCCTTCTGAAAATCCAGCCACCAAAAACCCTGTGGAGGGCAGTTTTACAACCTCAGGTTGAGGTTTCAGACCCACCTCCCTGTCAATGTGTCGTGCTGTGGTGGTTCTCATGTTCCTGTGATGCTGGGAACTATGCCACTGGTATTTTAGATGACAGGATTCACACGAAGTTACCAGATGAAGATAGATTAGGAAGAAAAACCTGGTAATACTTCTAAAAATCAGCCAGTAAAAACCCTGTGGACCAGCACAGAGTAGTGTCTGAGCATGCTGGGAGATGAGGCCACTCATAAAGGAGACAGAGACACCGAGGGACACATACAGAGCCCACATGCAGATGCAGGTGTGCCTTGTTTTACGGCCCTGCGATTTCTAACGCTTCACAGACACTGAGTGTTTTACACATTGAAAGTCTGTGGCAGCGTTCAACGAGTCTAATAGTGTCCTTTTTCCAACTCCGTGTGCTCACTTCGTGCCTCTGTGGTCCCTGCCAGTCGTTCTCACCACATTTCAAACTTTTCCATCATACGGTTGTACTCGTCATAGATGATCGTCTAGTGTCGACATCACTCCTACAGGCTTTCTGAGGTGATCTGAAACCAAACCTGAAACACCTCCGAGGTCTGCCTGTACAGGAGCCCTGGTGGAGAAGGAGGTTACCAAAAGGTCCGCGGTTCAAACCCACCAGCTGCTCCAAGGGAGAAAGGTGAAGCTATTCACTCCTACCAATATCGACAATCTCAGAAATCCAATAGAGATTCCCTGTGAGTCAGGAGCTTTGTTAGCGTAGTGGTTACAAGCTGGGCTGCTAATCTACACAGTTAGTAGTTTGAAACTACCAGTGGTTCCATGCGAGAAAGATGAGGCTTTCTGCTCCTATAAAGTTTTACAGCCTGGGAAACCCTACACAGGGTCTCAATGAGTCGGAAGTGACTCCACGGCACATAACCACCACCCGAGTAAGAATGGACTCCTGGTGTGGAGCTGTAGGATCAGCACTGGACTTCAAACCACAAGATCAACAGTTCAAACCCACCATCTGCTCCTCAGAAACCCTATACAGGGTCACTACGAGTCGGAACCGACTTGATGGCACTTAACAACAACACCAAAATGAGTCAGAATAGACTCGATGGCGGTGAGTCCAGGGTTGTGTGTGTGTGTGCTGGTATGCCTGCACGTCTACAAACAACCAAGGAAAGTCAGGAGCGGCCATGCCAGCAGAGTGGCTGAAAGACACGAATCTAGAGCTGGCTGGAAGAAAGCAAGATGAGCCCCACCCCCACCCAACGCCTCACACCGTGAGACAAGAAATCCCTGCTCTCTAAAGCCACCGCTTGTGGGGGTTTTGTTAGGGAGCCTTGGGACACTAAGACAGAGAAGAGGGGTGTGTTAGAGTGGGAGAGAAGAGAGAGAAGGTAGCCACGGAACCCTTTATGACCTAATCTCCAAGTGATACCATCTTTCATGTGATACTGGCTGCATAGACCGACCCTGGTCCCTTGTGGGAGAGGTCAGACGAGGGTATGGACAGCAGGAGACTAGTCAATGGGGTCATGTTAGAGGCTGAATGCATCATTGTTGTTAAGTGTCGTCTAGTTGGTTCCGACTCATAGCGACCCTGTATAGGGTTTCCAAGGCTTTAAATCTTTATGGAAACAGAAAGTCTCATCTTTCTCCCTAGGAGCAGCTGGTAGGCTTGAACCGCTGACCTTGTGGTTTGTAGTACAGTATTTATCCTATGGAACCTCCTTGCTTTAAAACTACAAACTCACTGTTGTCCAGCCCATTCTGACTCATAGCGACTCTATGTTTTTGTTGTTAAGTGCAGTCAAGTTGATTCCAACCCATAGTGACCCTGTATAGGGTTTCCAATGAGCAGCTGGTGAGCTTGAACCACCGACCTGCCGTTCAAATGACTTTGCAATCTGACTCATTAGCCCACAGCGCCACACCAGGACTCCAGCAACCCTATAGGTCTAAGTAAAACTGTCCCAAAGGGTTTCCAAAGTGGGAAATGTCTATGGGAACAGACTGCACGTCTCTCTCCCAGGGAATGGCTGCTGGGTTCAAACCACTGACGTGTTGGCTAGGCTTCACCACTGAGCCACCAGGATGCCTTCCACTTCCCGTTATAACATTCTCTTCCCTGGTGGAATTGCACCGTGATCGTATATGCACACGCCTCCGTGGTTTGGGTTACTATTTTTTGTCCTCTTGATGAACAGATCAGTGCTGTTTCTACTTTGTTCTCTAGACTGATTGCCTGACCATCTTCTGCCCATAGTCTTGTATTTCTGTGCACATTTCTCTGGGGTGCATACGTGAAATAGGATGGCTGGGTCCTAGGATTTGATTAGGTATTTCCCATGAACACCCGCTCTACATCCTCCCATACCTGGTCTGCAGACTGTGCCCCAGTCTCTGCACTCAGGGAAGGTACCTCTCTGACACTCTTTGATGACACGGAGGCTGGGCCTGCTGAGGTTCAGTTTAGCTTGCCCCTTCATGGCCTCATGGGACCTGGCTCAGGTGAGCACGCGGCCTGAGCACTCAGGGACAGAAGCAAAATGGAGCCTGAGGGCCCTGGCAACCAAGGGTGCCTCTTCTGCTCTGAACTGTGTTCCTTCTACCAGGAGGCCATGCAGGCTTCTCCTTGGAGTCACACTGCTGCCCTCTGGCCCAACGTTCTGGTGACGCAGGTGGCGGCTGACATTGACCTTGCGTCTCCCACAGGTGCCTTCCTCATCCCTTACGTCATCGCTCTGATCTTTGAGGGGATCCCACTCTTCCACATTGAGCTCGCCATCGGCCAGCGCCTGCGAAAGGGCAGCATTGGAGTGTGGACAGCCATCTCCCCCTACCTTGGTGGAGTAGGTATGCCCCATCCCTCCTTCTTGAGAATAGAGTAGGGGGCTCCCATCAGCCTGAGCAAGATCAGCCTGGGCAGCTGAGAAGCTTACAGGGAAGATACCTACCCACCAGGCCATGGAGGGGTAGGGGCTTCAGGGTTCTGGGGGCGAGGTCTCTACTGATTTGCTCCTCCCTCGTGTGCACATGGCAGTCTTACACATGTGAGCATGGACCATCATGAGCAGCATCGATGGTCATACCCTTGAGAACTTAGTACTGAGATGTCCTGGCCCTGGGACAAGGACTTGGGTGCAGGTCTCATTTGGGGACCTCAGGATGCAGCATTGAGGGAGCCAGGGCTCTACTCCCCGAGACAGCCCACAGGGCAGTCTAAGTCAGCCCCAGGCTCCTGCATGGCACAGGGCGCCAAGCCTGGCATGCCCAGCACCCGAGAACATCAGAGGAAACCTCAGGACAGATGCCACAGACGGGGTCCTAGTGTCAATGTCCAGGAGAAGCTACTAAGAGGACAATCCTCCAGGGACAGCCTCATCTGGGACCCTGTGGCAGAACTGGTGACAGGCAGGCATGGTGCTGATGGAGTATGGGAGCCCAGAGGGAGCATCTGGAGAGTTAGACACACGGAGACCATGCTTTCAGAACCCATCATTCGGGTTCACATGTGGAAGGGAAATCAGCGATGGATTCTCCACTGTTACCTTCTCTGCTGGTTCTCGGCCCGTACTGACCTGGGATGGCCTATCTGCAGGGCTGGGCTGCTTCACTGTGTCATTCCTGGTCAGCCTCTACTACAACACCATCCTGATGTGGGTGCTCTGGTACTTCCTCAACTCCTTCCAGCACCCGCTGCCCTGGAGCTCCTGCCCCCTGGCCCTTAACAGAACAGGTAAGAGTGCATTGTCATGGTGACCCATCTTTTGTACAGGCTTTGGAAGACCTCAGACAGGAAGACTCTCAGAACTTAAGGAAGAGCAGAAAATTTAGCCGTCACACACATTTGTATTCCATCCATCCAAAAAACACAAACCCACCCATTCCCATTGAGTGATTCTGACTCACAATGAACCTACATGACAGAAAACAACTGTCCCAGGGGGTTCAAAGGCTGAAATTTTTACAGATGCCTACAGCCACATCTTTCTCCCAAAGAGAGACTCATGGGTTTTAACTGCTTATCTTTTGGTTAGCGGTCAAGTGCCTCATCCACTACACTACCTCATTCTTCTGCACCCATGGAGGTCACTAAATAGAACATTTAGAAGACTCTAACTGGCTTCTTCATGGGGATCCCATGTGTCACAGTACAACTTCATGAGCTCTGTAGGGTTTTCTTGCTTATAACATTTACAGAAGCAGACCGCTGGGACTTTCTTTTGTCGCGTTTGACTACTGGCTAGTCTCCGTGACTGTCACAGAGAGATTAAACCCAAGTAGGGGCAATGGGAGATTAGAAAAAAGGAAGACACAAGACACAAAATGAAAATAGTAAAGTTGGCACCAGGTGGGACACAGCACTCTGATGGAGATACTGTGACTCAGACCTACATTCAGCACATTTATTATATACACATATCAAAGAAGGTGCTGGGGGAAGGGAAAAGAAAAACAACTGATGCAAGCAGTAAGCAGGACTTTATGAGAAGAATGTAGTTGCTAGGGAAACAGAGATAGGGCAGCAAGATGTTTTTGCAGACTTGACTGAAGGCCCTGGCTGAGTACAAGGAAAGACTTTGTAAACTCCTTTTTCCCTGAGGAAAGCTTTGCAAGTTCCTCAGAGGTCAGCCTGACCTGGGAACAGCCCAATTTTCTGGACCACAACTGTTTAGTTGCAATCCTTAGGTTAAACTGCCCCCAAGTCTGAGACCTTCGGTTTAGTTGCTCCCAACATTCCTCCCTAGTGCCACTGAGTGGATTTGAACTGCCAACTTTTTTCAGTTAGTTAGCACCTGATGGCAAACCTTTTGAGGCACTGAGGGACCTTGGCATTTGGGGTCTCCATGAGTTGGACTCAACAGTAGCACTTTTGTTTCTGGGTTTATTCAATCTGTTGAATCATCATTCATTGTTAAATGCCATTGAGTTGGTTCTAACTCATAGTGACCCTGAAGAGAGCAGCTGGTGGGTTTGAACTGCCAGCTTTCGGTTAGCAGTCCAGTGCTTATCCTACACTACCATACCAGGAGTCCACCTAGTGAATAAGCAGGTGGGATCCTCATGGGTTTCATGGAGGAATCTGCAGGGGTCCCCTTCCCAAAGAAGGCATCTTGCCAAATATAACCCACAGATTATATACCAGTGTGACATCATTCTAATATGGCAGCATGCGTAGCAGTGACTTAGCGTTCCCTGGTTTCTGGTGGCTCATTTTTCCATAAGGACAATGCTTAGCCACCACGGACACCCTTTGGTCACCGCTGAGAAGTCTGTGGATCCAAAATGCAACACAGTGCTGTATATGGGGCGCGCCACAGAAATGTGGGGAGCAGAGTTTGTTTTACACAATGGACTTTTCTTCCTTCCTGACTTTCATCCACACCAACTCTGTGCTTTGACTGGGATGAGCCTGAAGTGGGGACTGGACAGGGAATCCTTCCCACCTGGGCCCACCTCATCTGTCAGCCTCATGGGGGTGACTGGATGTCCTGAGGCAGCAGAATTGTGGGAGCCAGGCTCTGAGGAACTCTGCCCTGAAGCTATTTTGACTTCTCTTCCAAAGTTTATTTCAGAGGGTGCTCAGGCCAGTCCCTGACTTTCCAGATGGGACTCTCAGACCTGAAGGGTGAGCTCATGTCCAGATCTGAGCAGCAGGACTTCAGCCTCAGTCCAGCACTGAGTCCCAACTGGTTCCCCCAAAGTCAGCATGTCTTCCCAAGAAAGGGCAGATTTTCCTCACCTGGCCTGTAACCTTTCCTTCAGCAGAATCTCAGGACAGGGCTCTATGAGAGCAGGGTTCCAATGGATGGCCCCTCTCTCTGGCCCCGGGATCACAGCCTGAATGGGGCCCCGTAAGGCATCCCCACAGTCTGCTCTTGGTGTCTGGTCCTGTGACCTTCCTGGGTGACCTCACACCCTGTCAGATGCTCACAGCACAGCACTTGCTGAAGTCAGACTCTGGCCTTCCCCTGCCCCCTGGACCCAGTGACCCCACCAGGAAAGAGGTGGGTGCATTGGGAGCTCAGTTGCTAAGTGCAGGCAGCCCAGAGAACAAGTCAGGAATCCTGGAGAGAGATGAGGGGTGGGGAATGGAGTTGCTGTAACAGAAATACACATGGGGGTGGGGCGGGAAGTTTTACAGATATGAAGGCTGGGAGGCCAAATTCAGGGTGTTGCCTTTTCCGTCTCAGTTTCTAGAATCTGCCACCAGTAAAGCTTAGTTTTCCTGAGCTTATAGATGCACCTCCCTTAGATCATATGAGGTGGTGTCTCTCCCCTCTGCACATCTACGCTGCTCCTTATAGGGTTCATTAAGACCCACCTACACCTGGTGAACCTCATTCAACTGCACTGTGGGGAGTGATTACAGGAGACTAGATTAGATGGCAATCACCAGTGTAAAAACCAACCACACTCACTGCTGTCAGGTCAATTCCTCCTCATAATGACCCCATTTAGGGTTTCCGAGAGCCCTGGTGTGGTGCTGCAGGTTAATACATTGGACTGCAAGGTCCATTTGATCCACAAGGTCGGCAGTTCAAGCTCACCAGCTGCTCTTAGGAAACCCTATACAAGGTCACTATGAGTCAGAACCAACTCGATGGCACTTAACAACAACAGTAGTGTTTCTGAGACTAAAACTTTATGGAAACAGACAGCTTCATCATTCTCCCTAGAAGTGGCTGGTAGGTTTGAACCATCTGCCTTGCTATTAGCAACCCAATGTTTAACTCACAACACCACCAGATATAGAGGCCAGGATTCCAACACATATTTGGGGAGACTTCATTTAGTTCACACCATGGGGACTTGGGCTCAGCATAAGCAGTGGCTTACATACTAGTGGGTGCTGATAGCTCTGAGAATTCAGAGGCTGTGGGACTCGGGGACCCAGCAGGGTCAGCACTATGGACAGAGATTTGCCACAGTTATTGTATTGGGAGAGTGGCAGGTTCAGGGGTTCTCAGCACCCCAACACAACAGGTTCACTGGATCAGGCAGCCAAATGAACACTTGAGGTGCAGTGGAGAGATGCCTCATTCTTTTATTCAGCAAAACAGTGGTCAGCGCAGAGGAAGGGGTCTCAGTAGTCTCTTGTCCCTCTGCCCTCTCTAGCTTTCAGAGCTCCCTGGGGCTCTCTTCCCTTCATCTCTTTCTTCTCCCTCTGTTAGCTCCATTCTCCCTTCTTGCATCTCTCTGTTCTCCTCACCCTTCCTGTGGGGGAAACTCCTTATATACTACTACAGAACAGAGAAGGCATCTTGCCAAATATGACCCACAGATTATATGACAGTGTGACATCATTATAACATGGCGACATGCATAGCAATGATTTAGCAGTCCCTGGTTTCTGTCAGAACTGTCGAGTTGCCCCTGACTGGAAGGAGAGGGTCCCTGATAAGCTGTAGCCTCTCCCAGGCTAGTGCCACCTTCTGACTCAAGAGTCATTGCGCTTATCAGACCCAGTGTCCACCCCAAAGAGAAGTGGGAAGGGGCTCAAACCCATCCACGAAGAGATTGGCTTCCTGATGAAACCCAACAGAAGTCTTCATTTCACAGGGACACAGGTGGTGCTATGGGCTAGGCATTGGGCTGCTGACCAGAAAGTCAGTGGTTCAAACCCACCAGATGCTCCTCAGGAGAAAGCTGAGACTGGCTGCTCCCATGAGGATGTATAGCCTCATAGGCTCACTCTGAGTCCAAATTAGCTTGGTGACTGTGGGTTGGGTTTGGCTTGGTTCTTGCGTCTGGCTCAGCAGAGCTGACATAAAGATCTGTGATCCATAGCACGTGACTCACACAGTCCTGGGCAGCAGGGGACAGTAGCCCAGGACAGCCCGCTTGGTTGCAGGGTTTGTGGAGGAATGCCAGAGCAGCGGTGCCGTGAGCTACTTCTGGTACCGACAGACGCTGAACGTGACAGCTGACATCAATGACAGCGGGGCCGTGCAGGGGCGGTTGCTTGTCTGCCTGGCCGCCTGCTGGGCGGTCGTGTACCTCTGTGTCATCAGAGGCATTGAGTCCACCGGGAAGGTGAGCACCTGGGGTCCCCGGCTGGCCAGGACTTTTCCTCACCTGATCCATGTGCTTCCAAAGAGAAGGCTTGCATAGTCTTCCCTGAGTCATGCTACTCCACTGCCCAAATGCTCTCCTCTTCCTCTCAGAAGTGTGGTCTGCCCCTGCTGATTGCTTGGGCTGTAGAAAAAGCCTGCTCCCTTTGGGGCTGAGGGGTGAGACTTGCTGGTAAGCCTTGGGAGGAGTCCACGTGGGTTGGGTGGACGCATCTTTGCAGAGGGCATGTGGTGGCAGTCTCCTCCCAATGTCTGTGTCTGGTGGCTTTGACCCAGGTCCACTCCCTTGCCCATCCCAGAGTGGTCAATGCCCACCTTTGCTGACCCCACAAAGTCATAAACCCATGAACAAACTGATAGCCCACGGAACCTCCAGGGATGACTGGGACATTTGATTCATGTGTGAATGTTCATGGGTTGCTCCAACCTCTGGCAGTTTGTCTTGAGCTAACACCCCAGGCACCATCTGGCTCAGAAATCCCCCAGGATCCATGAGACCACCACAGAGAGGTTCCGCACACTCCTTTCTCTAATGGCATCTCATTTGATATGTGGCATACATCGCTTTAAAAGTGGGAAACTTTCTGTCTTTTTTTAAGGTGATTTATTTCACAGCCCTGTTCCCATACCTGATCTTGACAGTCTTTCTTATCCGAGGACTTACGCTGCCTGGGGCGAAGGAAGGACTGGTCTACCTGTTCACCCCCAATGTAAGTGGCTCTCAGTCTGCACATGAGGCCAGCCCCAGGAAGCATGCCACCCACGGTCTGTATGTGCTGTGAGCTGGACATGGTGGGTGGCTGGACTCACCCAGCAGTCAGAGACCAGGAGGAGGGGACAGTGGGGTCTCAGAGGAGGAGGGAGCAGGGAGAAGGGCTGTATTTGGACATGCTGGCTTGGTAGCTACTGGATATTCCAGGGGACACTAGAGGAGGAGTCAGGCTTTAGGTTAGCAGGGTCAGGGTTCAGGGGGGATGTGGCTGAAGACCCAGATGTCCTGGCTTAGGGCCAGGCGACACTCCTAGGGTTTCCTCTAGTAGTATGCACCCACAAGGTGATGGGTCAGTGTCTCTCTCTAGAAGCCCTGCAGGGCCCAAGACCCCAGCTTCCCCTGCCCCTCTGAGCCACTCCACAGAATCCAGGACCCCAATATCCCTGAGGGAGCTCCTAGGGCCTGCTCCCCACCCTTTCCACTCTTCCCAGGGGTGGTCCAGCTACTGGAGCTGGGAGGTGGCCAGAGATGGACAAGGGGGTGGACCTGGGTAAGGCAGGATGGGTGGTCACAGAAAAAGGGGTGAAGAAGAGAAGGGAAAAGAAGGAGGTGATGGAGAAGGAAGAGAAGGAAGAAGATGAGAAGAAAAAGGAAAGGAGGAAGGGGAGAAGAAGAGAAAAAGAGAATGTTGTTGTTAAGTACCATCGAGTGAAGTCGGTTTCCACTCATAGCCACCCTGTATAGGGTTTACAAAGAGTGGCTGGTGGGTTTGAACCACTGACCTTGTGGTTTGCAGTCCAGAGCTGATCCTCCAATGCCATATCTGGAGTCCATGGGGAAGAGTCAAAAATGGAGGAGAAGGAGGGGTCCTCAGTGTTAACAGCCCTGAGTGGGGCACGTCTGTCTGGGTCACCCACAGTGACATGGTGTACCTGCACAAGGATGAACCTCAGCTGAGGGACCCTTCAAACCATCCAGAACCAGCAAGTCTGATATGATCAGAATAAACAACCCAAGTAGGAGCTGGTTCACATCCATTTCCCAACTCCGAAAGGTCCATGTCAACCAGATTCTCAGAGTCCAAGTGTCCCTGGGGCTTCGTGTCAACATTTGTAGGGTTAAGAGCTGTCCCTCCAAGTGTGCCTACTAATCATGGTCCCGGGTTGTTCCTGGAGTCAGATCTGCCCATAAAAGTGCCCCAAAGGAATGTTCTTAAACAGTGAGTGTGCAGGCCAGTGGTTGGGTGGCCCTGGTGGAACCTCTCCCTGGTTCCTTCCAGATTCAGGTCCTCCAGAACCCGAGGGTATGGCTTGACGCAGCCACCCAGATATTCTTCTCTCTGTCCCTGGCCTTTGGAGGACACATCGCATTTGCAAGTTACAACCCGCCCAGGTAGGCATCCCTGGTTTGGGTGTTTTTTGTTTTTTGTTTTCCACAGGCGTGTGCTGAATCTTCTTTATCTTGGAACTCTGCCAAGGACCTTCTATGAACTTGCGATAAGAGGTTTACACTGTGTTGTGTGCTCCAGGCCACAGGTATTGTACAATGACTGAGTCATCCCTGGAGACAGCAAAAGTTCCCTTGAAGGGCAGGTTAGAGCCATTGGAGGCAGCTCCTAGCACATTCCTAAGTTGACTGCAGGAAGTGAACCATCACAGTAAACCGTGATAACTTCACTCAGGAGCAATGACAATGTCAGCCAAAATTAACCGTGGGCATAATGCACAACGTCATAAAAGCAGGACTCTACTGCATGTAAACCTCCGGAATGACTTAAATTAGATTCAAGGTCTGCGCATTGGTTTTATGAAGCCATAGTATGCGTTCAGCATTACAAAGTACAATTCCTTGGACTCGTGAAACCTATGCCTCAATGCACTAGGATAAATGTTGCTGATGTTGTTGTTGTTGTTGTTGTTAGGTGCCATCAAGTCAGCACGCTACCTTGTCCTCACTATCATTGCTATGTCTGAGCCCACTGTTGTAGCCACGGTGTCAGCCCACCTTGTTGGGGGTCTTCCTCTTTTTCAATGACCCTCTACTTTACCAAGCTTGATGTCCTCCTCCAGGAACTAGTCCCTCCTGATAACATGTTCAAAGTACAGGATACAAAGTCTCACCACCTGCACTTCTAAGGAACATTCTGGTAGTCCATGGTACAGTCAACATTCTTCATCAACACCGTAATTCAAGTGCATCAATTCTTCTTTGATCTTCCTTATTCATTGCCTAGCTTTTGAATGTATATGAGGAGATTGAAAATTGCATAGCTAACAAGGATCAGGTGCACCTTCATCTTCAAAGCCATATCTTTTGTTTTTGATGCTTTAAAGGGACCTCTTGTAGCAGATTTGATCTATGCAGTATGTCATTTGATTTGTTGACTGATGCTCCCATGTACGTTGATTGTGAGTCCAAGTAAAATGACATCCCCGACAACTTCAATCTTTTCTCCATTTATCATGATCCTTTTTATTGGTCCAGTTGTGAGGGCTTTTGCTTTCTTTATGTTGAGTTATCCATGCTGAAGTCTGTAGTTTTTGACCTTCATCAATAAGTGCTTCAAGTCCTCTTCACTTTCAACCAGCAAGGGTGTGTACATAGACCAAGCAGCTGTTGTTCAAACAGAACTAGGGGCTACTGAATGGTTTTAAATCGGGAGAGGTATGCGTCAAGGTTGTACCCTTTCATCATACTTCTTCAAATTGCATGCCGAGTAAATAATTCGATAAATTGGATTATATGAAGGAGACTAGCATATCAGGATTAGAGGAAACCTCATTGACAACGTAAGCAGATGATAATAAGCATTTATAGATATGCAGATGATAAGCAATAGACAAACTTAATTTCATTTAGCTGTAAGCAATTTCTCCTTTCAGAGGCAGGGTGTGGGGGCAGGGAATGGAAGGGGCGGAGGGAAGTGCCCCTTTAGAAGGTATTTAGGAAGGAAGTGTGAGCTGGGATATGGGGTGTACTCTGCATGTCATAGCTGACAGTCCGCCATCTTGAACTCACATCCTAAGCACACTCACAATCATCTCTCAGATGCAGGTAACCTGAAAAAAACCACCACTGGCCCTCGCTCCCTGCTATTCCAACACCTCTGTGGACAGGACAGGACAGAGAGGTTAGGTGTAGAGAGGAGCAGGAGACCCTACCTAAGTGAGCTTTAGCAGTTGATATACGTAGGCCCAGAGTCCTGTTGTGGCGCTGTGGGTTAATGCGCTGGGTTAATGCAAAGGCATTTGAACTGCAAGGTCAGCAGTTCAAGCTCATCAGTCGCTCCTCAGAAACCCTATACAAGGTTATCAGGGGTCTGAACAGATTCAATGACATGTAACAATGACAACAAATTAGCGAGTCGAGTGAAGTCTGGACCCACTCAAAGCAGGGGCTTAAGCTCACCTGGGCAGTGTCTCTCAAGACCTGTTGTGACGCTGTAGGATGACCACAAGGTCAGCAGTTCAAACCCACCAGCCGCTCCTTAGAAATCTTATACAGGGTCTCCATGACTCAGAACTGACTTGATGGCACTTAACAACAACAGTAGACTGTGGAGTAGTGGTCCAGTCTCCATGGACTTCATGAGTCCAAAAAGATTTTTAGGATTTTGTGAGTGTGAAGGGTGAATTTGGGGCAGAAAAACTGGAACTGCTCTCAAAGCTGCTGCTCCAATGAACAGTTCTGAGGGCAGGGGCTGACAGTTCATGCTGAAAGGAGATGGGCCAGGCCAAGGCATGGTGAGCAGGAACAGCGTCTGAGAATCCCACCAGACAAACAGAACTGAAGAAAGTAGAGAAAAGTCCCCACAGCCCAATACCTCAGATGAGCCATGGCTGACACCTCCAGGCTCTGGAGGGGTCCCCAAGCTGAGATATGGGACTTTGAGTAAGTGACTTGATCCCAGTCTTGGAGCCACGTGGCACCATCCTGGAGAGACCTCAGAACATGGAGTGTTGTTACTGATGGAAGAGGCTGCTTGTCAATGTATGTGATGTTTTAGAGGAGACTCCACTCCATCCTTAAAAATCGAATTTATTCAGAGGAGGAAAAATCATTATACCCAGATGTAGGAAGACACCAGTCAGCACAAGTTAAAGATGATGACTTCAACTAAAATATTTCTTACACATAGTTCAAGAAGCTAACAAATTTTAATACCATTGTTTGGTTGATTAATTTTTTAATAAGGATGAGCTAGGGGTGGAGAAAAGTTTTCCGTGTGGCTACAAAATTGACGGTCATGTCATAAAGATGCCAAAGTTGATGGAAGACATTCTTTGCGGCTGGAGCTGGTAATAAGAATTAATGCCAAGTCTCTTTAGAAATTGTTTGCTTAAGTGAAATTATCTTGGTTGTCTGGGAAACTTTAGATAAAAAGTTTGACAATTCAATGTTTTTTCTTGAAACCATTTCTATGTCTTTATCATGAAAGGACTATTTCTTACAGCGATTTTACACCAATGCATCTGTGTTTTGAATATATATATATATATTTCTTAGGGTGTATTCCTTCCACATCCTGGCTTGATTGCAGAGAAATTATTCCCTTAGTTGTTTATGGCTCCTAGCGATTAACAGAGTGAGATAGCAGGGGCTTGTCAGGGAAGCAAACAGAAATTACTTTTAGGCAGGCAGTTGGATAAAAAGAATAGTCTAATTCAGCAAGAACTGAGTTAAATTCAATCATGCTATTTGGGTCAAAACAGCTTTACAAATCTCTACCTCAGAGTGAGCCCATCACAGACATCTCCCCCAGGGAGAATGAGTCCAAGAGGCAGAAACAGTCCTTCCACTTTGGGAGATCATGTCTGGTGAAAGGTGGGATAAAACTGGCCAGAGAAGGTCTCTGAGCCAGCCTGGAAGATGGCTAAGCATCTGTCCCAGCATGCTTTGAAGTCTCAGCCCTGTCAGGAGAAGGATCTGCTCCAATAACCAAGTGCAGTGATTGTGACTCTCCCACTAGAGGAGACAATGGCCGGGTGCCCCGAGTACTCAAACTGCAGGGTGACCAGGGAGGGTGAAGGTGGGACTCCACACCACGTCAGTGTGCTCCCTGGATGTGAAGCTCTAACCAGAGTCCCAGTGACAATCCTGTATGTGCGCCCCCAGGAACGACTGTGAGAAGGACGCTGTGACCATTGCCCTGGTGAACAGTATGACCTCCCTCTACGCTTCCATTGCGGTCTTCTCTGTCGTAGGCTTCAAGGCGACCAATGACTATGGGCACTGCCTGGACAGGTGAGTGTCACGCGGGCAGGCACACCTGGGCATTGTCTGGACAAGTAAGTGCTACACAGAGTGACTTCCAGGGATCCCCTGCAAGACTGGTGTCCTCTGCGCTCAAGACCCCACAGGATTGATGGGAAGTCAGTTTTATTTTCTGAGCGTTGTTGTTGTTAGGTGCCATCAAGTCGGTACCGACCCATAGCGACCTTATGTACAGCAGAACGAAACACTGCCTGATCCTGGGCCAACCACACTACTGTTGCCATGTTTGAGCCTGTTGATGCTGCCACTTTGCCAATCCATCTCAATGGTGGTCTTCCCCTTTTTCTCTGACCCTCCACCTTACCAAACATGATATCCTTCTCCAGCGACTGGTCCCTCCTGACAATATCTCCAAAGTATGAGATATGAAGTTTGGCCATCTTGGCCTCCAAGGAGCACTCTGGCTGTATTTCTTCCAAAACAGATCTATTGGTTCTTTTGGCAGCCCATGGCACTTTCAATATTCTCCTCCAACAACATAACTCAAAGGCATCAATTCTTCTACTATCTTCCTTATTCACTGTCCATCTTCTGAGTGTATTGGGGTGAAAATCTCTAAATATAAGTCCCCTCCTGCCCCAGAACCTCAGAAGGTGACCTTCTTTGAAGAAAAGGTCTTTGCAGCAGTGATTAAGACATCACCCTGGATTATCCAGGTGGGTCCTAAGTCCAGCAGCAGAGTCCTCATAGGAGAAATTCAGACTGAGCTGAGATGACCTAAGAGGAGGTCATGGTGGTGGTTATGTGCCGTGGAGTCAGTTCTGACTTACAGCGACCTTGTACAGGGTTTCTGAGGCTGTAAATCATTACGGGAGCAGAAAGCCTCAAGTTTCTCCCACAGAACAGCTGGTCAATTCGTACTACTGGCCCTGAGGTTAGCATCTCTATTCGTAACCACTACAAAGTGGTTGTTTGCAAATGGAGGCAGAGATTGGAGTGATGTTTCCATGGACACTGGACTCCTAGAGCCACCTGGAGCTGCTAGAGCAGAGAAGGAAGTACCCTGGAGCCTCCAGAGGAGCGTGGCCCTGCCTGCACTTTGAGTTCAGACTTTTGACCTCCAGAACCATGAAAGGCTTAATTTCTGTTGTAACGGTGGCCCTGGAAAACGATTCCAGTTGGGATCGCTCTTACATGTGGAGTTTCTCTGTCCAACAGAAATGACATTGATAAGGCTTTGATTCCAGCTCACTTGTGGCGCTGTAGCATAAACACTGGACTGCTAACCACAAAGTTAGCGGTTCAAATCCATCAGTGGCTCTTGGAAACCCTTTATAGGGTCGCTGTGAGTCAGAACCGACTCCGACAGCACTAGACAACAACAATTACCTTGTAAGGAGCCCTGGTACCGTAGTGGATTACAAGCTGGGCTGCTAACCACAAGGTTAGTAGTTCAAATCTACAAGGTGCTTCATGGGAGAGAAAGATGAGGCATTCTGCTCCTGGAAATATTTACAGTGTTGAAACTCTCTACAGCGTCACTAAGAGTCGGAACCGACTCGGAGGCATGCAACAAACACCACCAATGACCTTTTGTTGTTTGTTGTTAAGTGCTGTTGAGTCAGTTCCAACCCATAGTGACCCTGTATAGGGTTTCCAAGGGGCAGCTGGTGAGCTTGAACGGCTGACCTTCCAGTTCAAACAGCTTTGCGGGTTGGTGCATTAACCCACAGCGCCACACCAGGACTCCTTTTAGAGGTATTTTAGCACTTAATCCATTACAAGTGTACAAGCACACCACTCTAACGCCCAAGTATCATTCCTCCATGTCATTTGTGACTGAGCAGAAATGAAGGTGGGTAACAAACCTCAGTCAGGCTGTAGCTCTTCCCTGTAGCCCTTAGAAGACCATGCCCCTTACTCCCAAACCTGCCCTCCTCGGTTCCCACTCGGGAAACCGGCAGCTCCATGTAGCCAGGAAGCTGCACTGTCCCTTCCAAGCCCTGAAGGGGCGTGAGAGCAGTCTTCTCTTCCCCTCAGGAGAGGCCCAGGTGCCCATAGACCCCTCGGGACATCACTGCTGTTTCCTAGTGCCACGAGAAGGGATCTTCTGGGCTGAGTTTGCCCAGCATGGCTCCCCAACTCCACTGTATCCCTACAGGAACATCCTGAGCCTCGTCAACGCCTTTGACCTCCCGGATCAGAGCATCTCCAGGGATGACTACGCAGCTGTGCTCTCGCACCTGAATGCCACCCAGCCTACACGGGTGGCCCAGCTGCTCCTGGGGAGCTGCCGTCTGGAGGACTTTCTGGACAAGGTACCTGAGCTAGAGGGCCCTGTCCCTAGGGGACGGGGGCCTCCCCGCACATGCTGCAGACATCGCTGCCACAGACCAAAGACCAGGCCTTCTGGGACAGCCTGTGGTCTCCAGTAAGACCAGAGAGGGTAGGCAAGTCAGAGGTGCTAGTCACAAAGCCACTTGGTGCCACAGGGCATCAGGCTGGGGGAGCACAGTCAGGACAGTGGTTCTAACCTCTCCATGGTGCCCAGTCAGCAGCTGTCCAGACTTCTATCTCCACAGTCTCTGGCTATTCAAGAATCTGGTACAGCTCCTCCCTGAGGCACATCTGCAGCCTGAGCCCAGCCCAAATTAGCAGGACACCCACCTCAGGCCCTGCTGGAGCAGAGGGCCATGCCCATGTGTGACAGAACACACATGTGTGTTTAAGGCTCGGGTGTCATGTGTACGCATGTGGCGGGGGATACATACATGTTTCCGTACTTGGGGTTTGTGTGCGCACATGTGACAGAGTACACATGAGTGTTTCAGGGCTGGGGTGTCATGTGCACACATGTGGGAAGGGATACGTGCAGGTTTCAGGACTTAGGGTATTGTGTGCACATGTGTGACAGAGCACATGTGTGTTTCAGGACTCAGGGTGTCATGTGCACACATGTGGCAGGGAATATGTGCATGTTTCAGGGCTTGGGATGTTGTGTGCACATGTGTGCCAAAACACACATGCATGTTTCAGGACTCAGGGTGTAGTGTGCACACATGTGACAGAGCACACGTGCGTGTTTCAGGACTCGGGGTGTAGTGTGCATGCATGTGGCAGGGAATATGTGCATGTTTCAGGCCTTTGGGATGTTGTGTGCACACATGTGACAGAACGCTCATGCATGTTTCAGGACTCTGGTTATTGTATGCACTTGTATGGCAAAGGTCACACACATGTTTCAGGACTCGGGGTGTTGTGTGCAATGTGTGAGATTCGCAGTGTGAAGTGTGGTGTCTGAAAGCATGTGACAGAGCGCGCCCAGCACTGGTGTGCATAGTGCTGCTGAGAGCCGTGTGCGTGCGGTGTGGCCCTGTGTTGACGGTGCCGTGTGCAGGCTGCTGCGGAGCTCCGTGTGCGTGCGTGCGGTGTGGCCCTGTGTTGACGGTGCCATGTGCACGCTGCTGCAGAGCGCCTCGGGCACGGGCCTGGCCTTCATCGTTTTCACCGAGGCCATCCTCCACATGCCGGGGGCTCCCGGCTGGGCTGTGCTCTTCTTTGGGATGCTCTTCACCTTGGGCCTGTCGTCCATGTTTGGGAACATGGAGGGAGTCATCACACCGCTGCTGGATCTGGGGGTCCTGCCCAGATCGGTCCCCAAGGAGGTTCTGACCGGTGAGTGCAGAGCTGGGTGGCTTTATTCCCTGCTGGTGCCATCCTGTGGCCTGGCAGCCCTGAAGGGGAAAGAGCTGGAAGGTGAGGATGCCTGTGGCAGAGAGAAGGCATTGGTGGGGTAGCCTGTCCTGTCCCTCCTACTTGGATGGGGAGGTACTGTCTCTCTCGTGCTCCCCTGAGCCCGCGTCCCCGCAGGGCTGGCCTGTCTGACCTGCTTCCTGACTGCACTCTGCTTCACTCTGCAATCCGGGAACTACTGGCTGGAGATCTTTGACAACTACGCTGCCTCCCTGAATCTCATTGTCTTCGCCTTCTTCGAGGTCATTGGGGTCGTGTATGTTTATGGGATGAAACGGTGAGTTCAGACTGCTGAGGATGGCCCGGGAAGGTATAGAAAGGGCGATGTGAGGGCTTTCTGTTCTCAAACAAAACTGAGGACAAGGCCCCAGCGTTTCAAGGACACGCACAGAGGGACGCTGAGGAAGGTGGGAGGGGACGAGGTTCAGGCCCACACTGGACAGCCAAGGAGGCCTCTTTCTATGGCTGTCAGAGATCAGGCGGCATGTTAGCCATAGGTGGGTCATGCTGTCCACTGGGGATCTCCCAGCAGTCCAGGGACCAGGGACCCAGGGATAGCAAGAAGCCCCAGTGTGGGCTCGGGTCCCTTCCAGCCCAGTGTCCTGGGATGGGCCACTTCTCATCTCCAATGTCTCTACTGACCACGGCCATGACTGGAGCCAACAGAATTGGGCAGCCCCCAAGAGCTTGAGCCATGAACCCTCCTTTTGGATTCCGATTCTAGAATATTCTGTGAGCCCAGGAGGAGCGACCCAGCCAGACTTGTCCCTGAAAGTGGGCACTTGAACCCCAGCCAGGTTGGGGGAATCCCTGAAGCAGGAATCTGGAGGCGAGGCAGGAAGGCAGGTGTGGTTGGGAAGAGAGAGGGGCTGTGGCAGCTAGGGGTGTCTGTATTCGTGCTCCTGGGAAGGTATCCACTGTGGGCCTGGAGGAGGAGAGAGCCAGAGTAGAGAGGATGGGGTTACTGATTGCCCAAAATGTGGATCTGGCCTGGAGACGCCCTGTGGATTCACCTATGTCAATAGGATGCATTCATCAACGAGCTTGTTGTTGTTAAGTGCCATCGAGTAGGTTCCGACTCATAGCGACCTTATATAGGGTTTCCAAGGAGCAGCTGGTGGTTCGCAGGCCAGTGCCGAACCTATAGCACCACACCAGAGTCAGTGAGCTGAAGAAGGTGTAAGCCAAAAACCAAACACATTGCCACTGAGTTGATTCTAACTCCTGATCCTATGTTGTTGTTGTTAAGTGCCGTCGAGTCGAGTCGATTCTGACCCATAGCAACCCTATGTAGGGTTTCCAAGGAGCAGCTGGTGAGCTTGAACCACTGACATTGCAGTTCAAATGACTTTACAGTCTGACGCATTAGCCCACAGCGCCACACCAGGACTCCTATAGGACAGAGTAAAATTGCTTCATAGGATTTCTAATACTATATATTTTTAAGGATGCAGACTGGTGGGCTCGAACTATCAACCATTTGGCTAGCAGCCCAGTACTTAAGTCACTGGGACACTAGGGACCCTTACTAAGAAGCTATGTTGTTGTTGTTAAGTGCCGTCAAGTCAGTTTTGACTCACGACAACCTTATACAGTGTTTCCGAGGAGCGGCTGATGGATTTGAACCACTAATCTTGTAGTTCAAACTGACCTTGCAGTCTAGGTCCTATTTTATAGTGCCACATCAGGACTCCTAAGAAGATATTTGTTAAAGTTATTAAGTGCTGTCCAGTCAGTTCCAACTCATATCGACCCTGTATATGGGTTTCCGAGGAGTGACTGGTGGGTTTGAACTGCTGACCTTTCAGTTAGCAGTCCAGTGCTGATCTTACAGTGCCACGCCACTCAGCATAATGCCCTACCCAGGTGGGCACCTCCTCCTCACCTCTGCAGGTGCTCCAGGTGCTACCTCTGTCCCCATCCTTGGGGTCCACCACAGTCTGCCTCCTGGGGTGTCAGGATGGTTCAGAGGCAACCTCTGCATCCCAGTTCCAGACCAAGCCAGGTGGGCACGAGGCCTGCACACCTCCCCTCCCCTCATGACGGGGTCGGCGTGCCCCCCTCTCCTCCCACAGGCTTGTGTGGTAGGCCAGCCAGAGCCCTTCCCAAGGGTGAGATCTATCTGGGGTCTGGGCTGACCTGCTCCAGACCCAGGTGCTCAGAGCCCCCGGAGCACCTCAGCCCAGTCTGGGCTCTCACCCCATGGAGCAGGGATTCTGTGGACCTGCCTCTCCAGAGGTGAGGTGAGAGGGGCCCCCAGAACCGGGGCAGGACCAGGGCATAAATCCTCATCAGATTAGAAAGGGCTGTCCCATTAGAGTGTGCTCAGAAAGGCATGAAGGTCAAAGTTGGGGAGATGAGCTGGGCACACCTTCTTCATAACATTAGATGAAAGTGCACTGGGTGAGCAGGTGGGTGAGGCACAAACAGGCTGTGTGTGAGAGGGACCATCAGCCAAGCAGAGCAGTACAAGGTGGACAGCCCATCCACAGGGGGAGGGGGAGGGAGTGGGAGAGACCATCATCAGGGGGAGGGGGAGAAGGAGAGAGTGGGAGAGACCATCATTGAGTGAGGGGGAGAGAGTGGGAGAGACCATCATCAGGGGGAGGGAGAGGGGAAAGGAGAGGGAGAGACCATCATCAGGGGAGGGGAAGGGAATGGGAATGCCCATCAGCAGAGTGCGGATGGGAGGAGAAATGTAGAGGAGTGGACCAGAGAGACCATCAATGGGGCAGAGATTGTCGGTCAGAGTATGAAGCTGAGTCTGTCTGGTGGCAGGTTTTGCGATGACGTGCAGTGGATGACCGGGAGGCGGCCGGGCCTCTACTGGCAGGTGACCTGGAAGCTCATCAGTCCCCTGCTGTTGCTGTCCATCTTTGTGGCCTACATTGCGCTCCTGGCCCGAAAGCCGCCAAGTTACAGGGCCTGGAACCCCCAATACGTAGGTCCTTCTCCTGGTCAGCATCCTTCCCAGTGCCCTCCAGGCCCAGATGACCCCACCATGGGCAATGTAGCCTACTCACTTCTGCCCCAAACAGGGGACTCCTGAACTCCACGTCCCTGGAACCCCGGGGGCCTCAGGGTCCAGTCAGTGATATACAAGGAGATCCCTCCTAACCTACAGTGCAGTGTAGGGATGAGGAGGCATACAGAGTTAGAGGCCACCACTGACCATATAGCCAAGCTAGCTGGTGCTCATACAAGGCTCTCTGGATGAGGGAAGCAGCCACCAAACATACTCTGACTGGAGTCTGTACTGCTCTCTGGGGACACTGGCCCTTCCCACCCTGCTGTCCCCTCCGGGTCCTCACAGATGTTGAACACACACACACGTGCACACAAACGCTACACCCTCTGGATCCTCACAGACACTCAACACCTATACACACACACACACACACACACACATGCTACACCCGCCGGATCCTCACAGACACTTAACACCCACACACTGCTGCCCCTTCTGAGCTCAGAAGTGATGCTTTCTCAAATTCTTAAACAGGGAAACTCACCCCAGCAAAACACACCGCAGGCGAGGGAGGGGTGAGGGTCCATGCAGCTGATGCATGTTATTAGGGTCACAATTTACTTCCTCCTGTCGACCTGGGAAAAAGTGCCGACATCAGTGTGGGGGAAAAAGAGGGACCACGCCACATTATAGAAGACAGCTATAGGTGACCAGGGTGGCTCTTTCCAGAACACGACACCCAGAGTCCAAGTTTCTCCCAAGTTGTCCCCAGGTGAGGCTCAGCCCAAGTGCCAGAACTTCTGGCAACTCCTTTGCTCCATCTTACTGCCCGGGGGGTGGCCACTGGCTGCCTGTCCCTCCTTCCTTTCTCATTCAACCCTGAATGAAGTCTTGGTTCCTTCATTGTAGGGAGAACGGAGACAAAGCTGTCTGTGTGGGATGGACGGACATCTCTGGGGGGTGGCTGGGCTGGGGATGCTGTCCTCCAGGATGTGGGGGCCACAGATGCCCATGCGATACAGGTTTCTGTGTTCACAGGAACAGTTCCCATCGAGACAGGAGAAGCTCTACCCAGGCTGGGTGCAGGTCACCTGCGTGCTGCTGTCCTTCCTGCCCTCCCTGTGGGTGCCGGCCATCGCACTGGTCCAGCTGTTTGCCCAGCGACGAATACAAAAGCAGCAGGACATGGATCCCCAGTTGCAGGGTGGTCATGCTTGCTGAGGGGTGGGGGCTCCCCAATCTGTTCCACATTACATACAGCTGCCACGCGAGACTTCTGTCATTGTTGCCTAGCCCACGCCTTATTCCCGAGGCAGCCCAGCTCCGTCATTGTGGTCAGAGGGGTTCCCAAACAGGAGGCAGCAGCCCTTCGCAGGAAATAACCACATCTCCAGCTGCTGTGGAGTTGATTCCAATTCATGGAGACCCGCGTGTTTCAGAAGGAAACTGCTCCAGAGGGTTTTCAAGGGCTGATTTTTTGGAAATACATCACCAGGCCTTTGTTCCTAAGCACATCTGAGTGAACTGGAACCTCCAACTTTCCAGCAAACAGTGTTAAACTTTAGTACCACTCAACAACCCGGGAGTGGCCCCCAGAAGTCATGCAAGGCAAGCCTCGGTGGCTTCACGCTGCCTCCCAGCTGACTCCTCCACCTGACTAGAGCAGCGTCGGCCAGCAAAATGGCTGGCATGTCCAATGTGCCAAGCAGGGCCAGGCCAAGGGGTCTCTGAGCAGAACGGTGTGGACACGCTGCATTGGTGACATCCATGTCACAGGGGTCCCAGAATTCGAGCCCCCAGGCTGACCCCCAAAGTGGATGAGGAATCCCCTGCATTGAGCTCAGAAGGGGAGTTTCCTGAAAGTACCTGTCTGGTCCTCATCTTTATGAGGGGAGCAGGTGTTGGCCATGAGTTGGGGCCGACTCAATAACAGCAAGGATACACTGGGATGTGTGTAGGAGTTTGAGACCATTTGTGAAGGACAAGAGTGAATGCAGAGGGGCAGCCTTAAGACAGATGCTCAGGGTCTGGTCACTCTGTCCACTTCCATCTCATGCGCCCTGATGAGCCGGCACAATGTCTGATACTGGAGCCAGTGCACAGAGGGGGCACGGCGGCAATGGGCTCAGTATTCACAATGGCAACGTCATCTGGCCCCCGTGGGTTCTTCCTAATAAGTCAGTACTTTTTCCATTGTCAGTGACACAGAGAAACTGTCCTACCAGCCCAAGCAGCATCTACTGGTCCTCAGAAGTGGACTTCAGGTCCTGCTGCATCCAGGCACACAGGCAGCATTCACAGGATTCTTTCTGCACATTGTAGCTCTGCCCTTTCAGGATGTTTCTTGGACTGGGTTTATCTATGGACACTGCAAAGTCCCTGTGGCTCATGGTCCAGGTGAGATGGTCACTCTCCCAGTGTCTAGACATCAGATCGCAGGGAAGTGAATGACCCACCAGGTAGTGTAAACAGTTAACACACTTGGCTGCTAAGTGGAGGATGGAGTCCACCCAGGTACCTCAGAAGAAATGTCTGGTGATATACTGAAAACCTTATGGAGTGCGTTTCTACTCCAACAAACACAGGGTGGCCATGAGCTGGAATCCACTTGAGCAGCATTGGCATTGTCAACTCAGAGATGAAGAAGGTGAAGTCACCTGCTCAGAGCACAGCACAAGGGTCCTGGGATTCTGAGGGCAACTCCTCAGGACCCTCCATCATCCTGGTCCTCACTTACCACAACCCTACCTCACCACGGCCCTCCCTCACCATGGCCCACCCTCACCTCGGCCCTCCCTCACCATGACCCTGATGGAACCTCAGCATTAATTTTACATTATTACCTCACTTAGACAATAACCAGGGCACTGACACGGAGGATCCCTAATGCCCAGTCGGATCAAACTTCTGGGTACAAACATTTAAAAATTGTGGGGTGGCTTGCCCTCGGCATTTGGAAAGGGATGCATTTGTGGAGGTGTCTGAAAACGGTAGCTTTCGTACCCCACTCCAAGCCTTGGGTCCTGTTCAGCTACTGAGAGAGGAATGGAACAGCGTGGGGTGGGACTTCCAGAGAATCCTCCAGGCAATGCCACTGGGTCCTCACAGGAATCTACATGTTCTGGACACATTTGTGGACACGAATGGATGAGCAGCTCGTCTGACAGGTGGTGTGACAGGGGCACATGGGTGGACAGAAGGTGGCCCAAGTCCGCCGGATCAAGCACGCCCAGACCATTGTGGGGCAGGGGCAGGTGTCTCAGGAGGTGGAATGTGAGGGAGCAGGAGGTGGGGGGCTCTTCCTCAGACTCTGCCAACATGCAGGACTCAGAGGAAAAGCTCTCCTGGCATCATCACCCAGCCATGTCATAAAGCAGCGAATCCGGTCACCTCTCTGCAGGGGCCCCAACCTGCCAGGACCACCAGCAGGGGCAGTCCTCCCCAAGATCAAGGTTTCAGTGACTCTAGAGGAGAACATCTCAGGTGGCCCCATGGCCTGGGTGAGGACTGGGATGGGAGATTCTTGACTGGAAGTGGCAGGGATGGGGAACCCGCATGCCCACACATTCTCTCCAGGCACTTGGGCAGTTTTGACTTCTAAGTAAGCAAACCTGTGCCAGCCCCTGGAGGTGGACACTGCCGTCCCCTCAGCAGCCAGTGGTCTGTGTGTAGGTCCCATCCCAGCCATTCCACCTCCTGCTCCATCTCAGCTCTGCAGGCTGACCCTCTAAACTTGGGGTTAAAGATAATTCTGTACCCCAGAGGCTGCATGGAACACAATGGAGAGTGTCCGAAGTCCCCCAGGCTCACTGGATACATGGCACAGGGGAGACAGCCTGTTCCAATCCAATCCGATTCAGAGGCAGGAGCAGTGGGAGGATTAGGCCAACCTTGCGGTTCAAACCCACCTGTGTGCCGTCGAGTCGGTTCTGACTCTTAGCAACCTTACATAGGATTTCTGAGGAGCGGCTGGTGAGTTTGAACCACTGGTCTTGCAGTTCAAATCGACCTTGAGTGGAGTGCTTATCCTGTGGTACCACACTTAGACTCCAGGGGCTAATTTAGAGTGATATCAATAATCCTAAGTGAAATGCATCAGTGAGAGAAAGAAAATTCTGGAACTTTGTAGAACGAAGAAGAGTAACCAATAAGCTGACCTAAGGTTGATCTTGTGTGGACCCTAGTCTATTATAGAAATTCAGAAAACACAGCCCTGGCCACATTCCAAGTGATTATGCATACATGAGAATGTAGAAGATTCTGGGGATCTCTAAGAATTACCTGGGGGCTTGATAAACTGTAGATTCTGACTCCGTTTATCTGGGAGAGATACAAATTTAAATTCTCAGCAGGGCGTTCACCCAGAACAGTACCAGCTCCTAGGACCTTCCCCTGCCCGTTCTGTGCCCTGGACCCAGCCAGGTGAGCGTCTCCCTCTGCTTACCAGGGAAGGCACGGGGCAGGCGGGGCAGCAGGTGTGCCCTCATTACTCATCTTCCCTCAGGAGTCCTGGCACCACAGCTAGGTTTACGATGCTGCCTTTATGGTGGGCTTGTGGACTTGGGTTGAACTTGGGCCCGCCATAAACCACAGGCTGGCTCCCAGAGCGGCATGTACACACAGATATAAACGGATACCCACCGGCCATAAACTCCCTCTTGCCTTGTTTGAGCTGTGCCAGCATGGGAAGCCCATCCCAGAATCACTGTCATAGACATCCAGACACACTTAGGGTCACGCAGAGCTGCTGACATGCATTTCATCCCCCTTGGTCAGGCTCATTGGGACCACCCTAAGGGGACAAGACAGTGAGCCCTAACTAGGAAGGCCTGGTGCTTCCGATGCAAACCTGCATCCTGTAGTGAGCACCCCCCCAAACCCACACGGAAGGCCCTTGTCTAGCCCCCACCACATCCACACCAGCCCAACACAGTGTGGAGGGTGTTGGCTCTGTCCAGCCCACTTCTCCAGCCTCTTCTGCTGTCTGCTCCCTCTACTCCCAATGTGGCAGACCCCCCTCGTGCTGTGGGTACACAGCTCTGTTCTCCTCTAAGCAGGCACTCACTTCATCATGGTGAGGAACATCATCAACCTCGTCACTGCAACCTCACCCATGGTGTTATGGATTAAATGTGTCCTCCGAGTGCTAGCTGAAATCCCAACCCCTCTGCTGGTACTTTGCCCTTGTGTGGACATAGGTCTTCTCTCTCAGGATCAGGGTAGGTCCTAGTCTGAATCCATCCTGAGGCGTGTTCTTTAAAAAAAAGAGGAGGATGTGGAGACTCCATGTGAAGATTCATGTAAACACTGGGCCTGTGATAAGTCTCCCTCCAGGGGTACAGAACGGAGTCCAGGTGTGGCACTATGGGTTAATGCACCAGACTGCAAAGCTCTTTGAACTGCAAGATCAGCAGTTCAAGCTCGCCAGCTGCTCCTCGGAAACCCTATACAGGGTCACTACAGGTCAGAATCGACTCGATGGCACTTCACAACAACAGGGGGCAGAGCAGAGTCTTGGTGTGGAGCCATAGGATAAGCACTGGACCTTAAAGTCGGTTTGAATGGCAAGGTCGGCAGTTCAAGCTGACCAGCTGCTCCTCGGAAACCCTACACAGGTTCACCATGAGTTAGAACCAACTCCATGGCACTTAACAACAGAGGACAGAGAGTGGCCACAGCTCTGCCGACTCCCAGCTGTGGACAATACATCTTGGTTCTTCCAACTACCCTCTTGGTGGCGCCTTAAGACACAAAGATAATTGGGGACTCAGCTCCAACAGTGCCACCTCTGAAAGGTTACATGCTCCTAACCATCCACCTCCTCACAGCTCTACTGGGAAACTGCAGGCTGACACATCTGCCCTGTTGTTGTTGTTAGGTATCATCAAGTTGATACATACTCAACGTAATGCTTTGCACAACCTCACAATCGTTGCTACACCTGAGCTCATCACTGCCACCACTGTGCCAATCCATCTCATTGAGGGGGGGGGTCTTCCTCTTTTTCTCAGACCCTCCACTTTACCAAATACAATATATCTTCTTCGACAAAATCTGGCCATCCTGACCTCCAAGCAGCACTCTGGCTGCACTTCTTCCAACACAGATCTGTTGGTTTTTTGGGGGAGTCCCTGGTACTTTTAATATTCTCCATCAACACCATAACTCAAAAGCATCAATTCTTCCATGATCTTCCTTATTCACTGTCCAGATTTCGCATGCATATGAGGTTATTGAAAATACCATGGCTTGGGTCAGGCACACCTCAACTGAGATGTCCTCAAACTGACATCTTTGCTCTTCAACACTTTAAAAAGGTCTTGTGCAGTAGACTTGCCTAATGCAATATGTCATTTGATGTCTTGACTGCTGCTTCCATGAGTGTTGACGGTTGATGCAAGCAAAACAAAGTCTTTGACAACTTCAATCTTTTCTCCATTGAAATGGATGTTGTTTACTGGTCCAGTGGTGAGGAGCTTTGTTTTCTGTACACTGAGATACAACTCAGACTGAAGGCTGTCCTGCCCCACCCATGTCCCCAAGGCTGGTGCCCAAGCAGACACAGACCACAAGCAAAAATCATGGTGCACCAACCTTGTGGTTCAAACTGACCTCGCAGTCCAGTGCTTTATCCTACAGCACCAACTGGCCCGCCAAGTGTAGCCAAGTGACAAATTCACATATAAACCCTGAATTTCTACTTACTCCCTAAAAGGCCAGGGAGGAACTAAGATTGTTTGCTGAACAACCTCACACCCTAGCTATGAGGGCCCTCAGTTGACTTCAAGCCCTGGTTAAGTCTTCCTCCTGAGACCTCTCATAAAGGTCAAAGCCTCAAATCCAAAGATTTGGATTCTACCAATGGACTAATAGAACATGGGAACATCAGTCTCCAGGACTCTGAGACTAGAACTAGATGGTGCCCAACTGCTCTGAAAGGGACCTTCACATTAGAGGGTCCTGGATACAGCTGGCGAAATGTACAACAAAACAGAAAATTCATTCATAAAAATAAAAAAGACCGGATTTACTGGTCAGAAAGAACCTGTGGAAGCTGAGACTATAGCCCCCGACCACCCTTCACCTTTCGAGGTCTGGAAAGGAACTCATCTTTGTGGTCCAACTTTCAGCCAAGCAGTAGGTAGGTTTACACTAGCAAGATATGCTCACTGTGGGATCATGGGTCATTCAAATTCAACAGGGCAACATTTACGTAAGGACAGAGTGGAGAAGGGATGGGAACGTGGGTACCACAGGGAGGTAGCAGGATGACTGTCGTTCCATGGAGGGGACTGTAATCATTGAGAAGAAACAGTGTATGATTTGTTGAATGTAAAGTTGATGTAGTTGAATGTAAAGTCTGTAGTCTGTAAACCTCCACTCAATTCACAATGAAAAGTTAAAAAACACACACACATACAACAAAGACTTGGACTCTAGTTAGGGAACAAACATTGCCATTGCTAATTCGGATTCTCAGGCTCTAAGTGAACAATGTGAGGTCTTATGATTCCCTTGTAAGGAACCATAGTCTTTGCACAACAAACCCGAGCATCTATGAACATCCTAAGACTTCTGAAATCCCACACTACATATGAATCCCAGGGTGGTACAATGTGGCTAACCCAAGATGGTTGTAGTCCACTCCAAGGCACCTCAGAACAAAGATTGGCAATCTGTTTCCAAAAACTCAGTCACTGAAAACCCGATGGGCACAGTTCTACCCTGACACACCCGGGGGCTCCAGCAGCCAGGACCCGCTCAAGAGCAATGGCTTTATTGATTTTTGTGGTATGCAATACAAAGCAAATAGAAAAATAGACATGTCGAAAGGATAAGAAAATAATATCTGAGGTGATCTTCATGCTACAGAGCCCCCTCCCAAGTGGACACCCCCTTGAGACCCCACCCAAGCTGCAGGAAGTGGGCAAGGCCTGCCTGTATATGGGTCTGGTGCTTGGCAGGCTGGGGATGAGGAGGAGGGAAGAAGGGTCCAAGCTCAGGACCTGGGAGGAGGAGGTTGGTCAGGCTGGGGTCAAGGATGGGGGTTAGAAGTCAGTGTTCCCGGACAGATGTGGGTGAGGTGAGTGTGGCGCAGGAGGGACAGGGCCATTAGGGAGCAAAGTCTGGGAAGATCAAAGAGAGCCTCACTTCAGCTCAGGAAGAAGAGACTGGGTGGGGGCGGGGAGCACAGGCGAGGACCACGACCAGAGCGGGTGAGGCTGGGCCGGGCAACTCTACCACAGCTGAGTCAACGCTTTGCTTACTGGGAAGCTGAATTTGGGGTGGACTTTGGATACAGCCCATGGCCCCATAAAGTGATGAGTTCAAATGATGGCTGGGGTTCTCCCTGGATGGGGCGGGTGCAGATGGCTTGTGCCAGGGTCACCATGAGGTCAGCAGGACGCAGCCCTGACCAGTGGCAGCCCAAGTGCACCCGCCCCAGCACCAGCACCAGAGAGGAGACTTGCCCTGCAGTTGGGACCCTGGGTCTCATGGCTGAACCTGAAAACCAAGGATCTGCGTGGCAGCCCCTTGGGGAAGGGGGTGGATGAGATGCCCACCACGGAAGGCCAGGACAGATTGCCAGTCCCTATCACTGGGGACCACTCACTGTAACTCTCATTCTAATTGTCACCCTGGGTCCTGAGATGCCCCCCACACCCCCCGACAGTCTGTAACCAGGCCCCTACCGCCCGGCTCCATGTGGGGACAAGCCCTGCTCCTGGGGCAGCCTGGAGGTGACAGACAAGAGGGCTGGAGAGCAACCACAAAGCGCAACAGCCCCTTCCAGGCAGACAAGGAGCCAGAGGCCATGGGGCTGCCAGGGGACAGAGTTCAAATCCACAAGCCGGTCCCATCAGTCCAGAACAGTCTTGAGCTCCTCATACAGGGAGGGGGCGGTGGCGGCTTCCAGCAGCCTCAGAGTTGCCTTGGGGATTTTGCGGCCCAGCTGCATCTTGGCTGTGAGGAGAGGACAATGAGACCCTACCTGGTGCGCATGTCTGGGGGTGGGGCCAGGAGGGGGCGCTCCAGGTGCTGGGGACGTCTGTGAGGGGATACGCAGCCATGAGGTACGGGGGAAGTGGTTTGTTAGAGGAGGAGATGAGAGGGGAGAGGAGCCCGTGACCCCAAACACCCCTTTGCTGCGGGGTGCCTTATAAACATGGTGCTGAACCACCATCTGTCGGAACAGACACTGGGGGCTGGAATCCGTACTTCACTGATGCCCTGCCTTCCTCCCGCCCCCTAGTTACCAGGAAGGGGCTTCCCTCCACCCCTGCTCACTCGTCTTGAGCGTCCCCAGCAGACACTTGTAGGTGACTCGGTGGCGGCTCAGCTTGAGCAGGAAAGCATGGTGGCAGAGCCAGCGTGCCGCCTCAGAAGGGAGCGGGCCCAGGGCACCAGGGGCCCCCAGCAACATCCCTGCCAGCAACAGGAGAGATTCAGGACTCGCCCCAGGGTAGGAGATGGACAGGGGGCGCCAGTCAGAACGCTTCTCTCCAGCATCTCCCAGTGAAATCTCCAAAACACTAGTAACAGCAGCTGCAAGTCAGATCGCCGCCAACTAAGGCCCGGATGGCAGAGGGGTCTGAGTGCAAAGTGGGAGGGGCTGAGGGCTAGGGCCACATTTCTGCAACCTCGAGCTGGTCCCAGGTGGCTGTGGGAGGGACCCATTACCCACACCAAACAGGGACTGTGTGGCCGAGGTGCCCAAGGGCGCCCCCCACCCCACCCCATGTGAGAGATAACAAGGAGGCAGAACAGTGCAGGGACCAGTCTCCTCAAAGAATGGCAGCAACTTCAGCACAAACCCGGATATCGTCCACCAGGGGCCGGGGATAGGACCCACTCTGGGTGCATGGCTACCTCCACACCGCCAAGGCCCGCAGCCCCAATGTCCTGACTTTTCTAATGCCCAAGTGGCAGCTCCTGCCCACACCAATGGAGGGTCCAGGGGCCCGTGCCAATAGACCCCGAGCACCTGTGTTCTTGGCTTTCAGAATGCTGTAGCAGCGCGTAGCCGTGTCCGAGATGATTCTGAGGAAAAACGAGGGATTCTTTCCCACTTGCTGATTGAATGGGAGCTGGAGTACGCAGGCGTGAAACCTAAGGGAGAAAGCCCATGGTGCTTGGGGAGGTCCACAGCTAACATGTATGTGTACACACGTGTACAATCTGCACACATGCATATGAATTCTTACACAGGGCAGGGGAATGGGGGGCTTCAAAAACTTCCTCATGAAGATTCCACTATCTTTTCGTTCCATTTTCCATGAATTTTTTGAAGCCCCTTTGTATGTGTTGCTGTGTGTACATGCCTGTCTGTGAATGCATGTGTTTATGTGTGCATGTGTGTGTGCACACATGCAAATGTATTTGCTTGCATGTTTACAAATGCATGGCTGTGTGCACTTGTGCATAGCTGTAACTGTGCAGGTATATTCATACATGACTTTGTTCAGGTTTGCATGTGTTTGGTGTGGCCGTGTTTGCATGCAGGTCTCTGTACATGTGTATCTGCATGTGTATACACAAACACATGACAAGTCCTTTGCCAGGTGTCTGAATGCCTGGCTGACCTCGTCACGTGCCTCAGCCCTTTCTGTAATAGTTAAGATGTGTCTGTTATGGATTGAAACGTAGCTCCCAAATTACATGTGGACACCCTAAAGCCCCTACACCCATATACATGACATTGTTTGGATCCAAGGGTTTTCTTTTGTAATGGTAACATCCCAGGGCAAGAGGGGCCTAAACCTAGTCCCTTCGAGTGCCCTGAAGTGAACAGACACAGAGACTCACTGAGGAAGAAGAAGACAGAAGACGAGTTGCCACGACTACTAGAAGGCACACAGATGACAAAGGACAGCCCGAGAGGCACGCCAAGTTTGGATGTCTCGTCTCCAGAGAATAAATATCCTTTTCAGCCACCCATTTGGGGTGCTTTTGGGACACACCCCCAGCAAACAGGCAATCTAATGTCATCCTCGCCAGTGCCCTGTGGGTACAGGGTATGTGCCCTGAAAGTCAGGTTCAGAAATGTTTTCTAAGAAAAGATCACTTGCCCAAGGTCACGAGGCTGGGAGGGGACCACAGGGCGTTAGGAGTTAAGGGGATGACCCTCCTAGAGGGCAAGGGCAGCTGCTCACCTCCGGTCTGAGGGTCACAGAGCTTGGGTCAAGGAGGACAGTAAGACCTCCCGTTCCAGTGACTCCAGCCCACAGCCTGCCATGCAGAAATCTTCCCTGAAGGACCAGGTCAGAGGGCACAGGTGTGGGCTAGGTCTGGGAGCCACAGGGGCAGACGGAATGTGCCCCGCTGCCATGTTATGGCCTACTTCCGCCCCACTCCCCTAGTCCCTGTCAGGTGCACATCTGGGCGCACTCACACTTGTGCCCCAGGAGGGGAAGCTGACTCTGCTCTGTACCCGCGTCTTCATGCCGCCACACACAGGTTCCACCCACAGAGCACAGTCCTGCCCGCAGGTCCTCAGGTGAGACCAAGCAGACAACCTCCTGATGGGGTGGAGACAGGTGATGCTGTGCTGAGCACAGGTCAAAGGGCAGGGTCCCGATATAGTAGTGGGGAGTTGGCCCCCACCCCTACCTCAAAACCATGACAAAGGACCGCCCCTGAGAGGCACGCATGTTTACATATGCATGACTGTGTGCAAATGTGCGTGACTGTAACTATGCAGGTTATGCATACATGTCTCTGTACAGGTTTGCATGTGTTCGGTGTGGCCGTGTTTGCATGTAGGTCTTTGTACACACGTATCTGCATGTGTGTGCACACAAACACATGACAAGTCCTTTGCCAGGTGTCTGAAGTGCCTGGCTGACCTCGTCACCTGCCTCAGCCCTTTCTGGAAGAGTGGTGGCAACTCGTCTTCTGTCTTCTTCTTCCTCAGTGAGTCCTCATGTCTGTTCTTCTCCTCAGAGCACGCGGCAGGGACTAGGTTTAGGCCCCTCCTGCCCTGGGATGCTAACATCACAAAAGAAAACTCTTGGTTCCAAACAATGTCATGTATATGGGTGCAGGGGCTGAAGGGTGTCCACAGGATGTGTCCTTCCCTGAAGCCCCCAGCAAGTCCCTGACTCCCAGGGTCCCACTCGCTTTTCCATCCCTGTGTGTGTGTGTATTTGTGTGTTGTATGGGCACATTCCTGCTGATATTCCAAATACACTTCCAGAAACGTGTCGAGGCAGCTTACACACCAAGAGCACAGGTGGCGTAAGTCCCTGGTTAGGAATGCGTGGACAGGTATAGAGCTATAACCAGAAGACGGTCAGAGAGAAGAAACAGCCCGAGCACAAGCGGAATTTCTAGAACTTGACACAGAGGAATCTGTGGGCCAGGCTGTGTTTGGGGAGACACCTGCCATCTGTTCCTTCCTGAGGTGCAGAGGACGGAGGTGCCAGCAAACCCTCCATCCTCCACACTCTCGCCCAGCCTTCCTTCTCTGTGACTCGTCCTAAGAAACACAGAGATTGGTCAGGGTCACATTACCACCCCCTCGAGCTGGACAACGCAAGGCAGACCCTCCTCAGGGTGCGTACATCCTGGCTGCCACAGACAGACACCACCTGCTCAGAGTAGTAAGAGAACAGCAGACAATGGCCTGTCCAGGACCGTCTCCACATCCCTGACCCTGTGCCGCCCTCTGGTGGCGGCGTGCCCCAGTAACCGACCTGTAGGCGTGTAGCAGGAGGATCTTGTAAATGTTGATGCAGACGGTCTGAAGACTATTCACCTGACATGAGAGAGAAAGAGAGCACAGTCAGATGATCCGTGGAATCGCTTCTGCTTTATAACCAGCCCTCAGAATCAGAGTGAAATATTCTACTGGGATGCCAGCCAAGCCACACATCCCACGCCCCAGGTTCCCGCCGAGTCGTCCCTGTCACTGCTGTCAGTGAGCCGACAGGGATGGTTCGGAAGAGCATACAAGGCTCCAGGCAGGCACTATTGACTCGTGACGCTCAACTACTGTGTGCTTTTAAGGTGACGTTGGGGGATGTGTTTGGTGTATGGTTTAAAGAGGATCTCGGGACATAGTTTCTAGACAGCGGCTCATTCTGATTAAAGTCCTTGCAGGGTTCAAGTTCCCTTCTAGAAGTCTATCTGAAAGACAACAGCAGAGCTGTTCAAAGACTTCACTCAGCTGTTCTAAGTTCAGAGCTGAGCAACCATGTAGGACGAACTAGATAGACGGGGAGTCGGCCACAGGCGGCACCGGGGGAGACCTTACGCTGCCATCCCTGGCATCTTCTCAGAGACTGCCCGATGGATGGCACAAAGCATTCCTTCTATAAAGGAGCACCGTAAAGCAGGAAGGGACATGGTGCCTGCTCGTGGTGACATCGATCACATGTGTCCATCTATGGCCGCTCACCCGCCATCACCCGATAGACCCGCTGCCTGGAAGTGAGGTGGGCACACATGCGCCCCCCAGCCAGCCCTCCCCTGAGTCCAGTCCAGGAGCACTGAGCCCACCCAGTACCTCGGACCCCCGCCCCAGGACCCCCACTCACACACACAGATGTGCACACATGTACCCACAAACCCACGAGTGCACACGCATGTGCTGGTCCACACCCTCCTGCCCGGGCGCCAGGCAGTGCACGATGAGTGAGCCGTCAGTCCCCAGGGTCAGCGTGCTCACCTGCAAATCCAGGAACAGACTGTGACACTTCAGCCGTAGGACCGCAAAAAGCTTGCGACGCATGTTCCTGCCAGCCTTGAAGCCGGGGCTGAAGACAAGACTCGCTCTGATGGAGGTCTGGGCATAGCTGCAAACACACGGGAGCTGCCAAATGTGAGTGCCTCCTTGTGCCCAAGTGGGCTCACTTCACAGCATTAAACGTGTGTCCACCTCATGGTGCCAAATGTGTGTCCACCTCATCTCGTCTAATGTGCGTGTCCAGGCCACAGTCGGATCCCCACCTCTGTGTGAAACTCCGGCTCAGGAAACCCCGTCCTTCCTCCCTCCCTCCCACCCATGTCCTGGTCACAGCAGGTACAACACGCTCCACACAAGTCTAGCCCATGGTAAGCCCGAGTCCCTGTGCACACTCACGTGCTGACACGCACCATCACAAACACGCATGTGTGCACATGAACTGGGCTACCCACCTCGCTTTTGCCCAAACCCTGGGCAGTCTCACCTGTCCATCCATCAGTGACCAACACGTGAGAGCCCCAACATAACATGCATTCCACTGAACCACCAGCAGGCCTCACACAAAACCTACAGAGACTTCTGAGACGCCCCCAATGTGACACGGAGCTCACTAACATTCCTATGTACAAAGAAGCCACACTGCAGGCCAAGTCCAGAGGTGCTGGGGAACGTCCGTAACACCCCACCCAGGCACTCCCTGACAGCACCCACAACCTCAGCCTCTTCCAGAACTGGGTCTGAATCATGCAGTGGTAGTTTCTGTCCCGTTGTGTGTTCCATGTGACGAGGACTGACCGCAGTGTGGCCTCACCCAGGCAGGGACAGGTCCACCCACAGGTGTCCAACACCCAATGCCTACCCAGCCTTCTCAAGCCCTCACCGTTCTCCACCTCTCCTTCCCAACGCGTTTTCTCCTGCAGGGATTCTGTTGCTCTGGGGTTTTCCCTTTTGACAACACACACACACACACACACACACACACACACGTGGGCTGGATTTGGGCCTCATCAGACTACCTGCCCCAAGAGGCACGGCCTGTCCCTCTCTTTCCTGCTAAGGTGTCAGGTGACCTCCTCACAGGACTGCCTGCAGCCAGGCTCAGGCTGCAGTCAGAACAAGTAAGAAAGGAAATAGCTCCACGTGTACTCTACACACAGCTGCCACCAGCCACCGACACGTCAAACGGTCGCAGCATAGCCCAGCTGGCTTGACCACGCACAAACTCGATAGGAAATACGGGAGACATGGAAAAATATGCAGAAAATGTCAACACAGAGTCCCTGCATGGTGCCAACTGTTAGCGTGCTTGGCTGTATCTGAGCTGCCGGAAGTTCGCATCCTTCCAGAGGTAGGGACCTCAGAAAGAAGACCTGGGGACCTATGAGGTTGAATCAAAAATCATCCACCCTCCAGTTATACCAAAACTTCTGTTGGCTGCACCATCGTATCAGCGCTTTCTGTTCAATGTCACTGCTGTGACCGTGGGCATCTGAAAACAAAATCTGGACCGATACTCAAAGGAAGGTAAAACTTTCTTTAAAAAAATCCTTACTGATGACTTAACATGGAGTCATCTCTAGGAGCCTGAGACTAAATGGCAGAGTATGGACTGGAAACATCCTCAATCGCCAACCAAGAAGTTCAGAAGTCAACCAGCAGCTGGAAAATGGATGCAAGCAGTTTTCTGGGATTGTCAAGGGGCAGTATTAGAACACTATCAGGAAAAAGGTTCAACAATCAACAGTGCTCATTACAGTGAGATAGATGCTCACTGAAGAGCTGAAGTCTAAACTTCAGATTCAACACAGTGGACTGTTATCTAGAGCGTCGTCATCTTACATGACAATGCATGTCTACACTGTGGACACTCTGCAAAAAGTTTGTTTTGAGGTGTTAAAGCATCCTCCCTATAGCCTTGATCTTTCTCCATCAGACTTTCACCTGTTTAGTCCCCCAAAAGCAGAACATCAAGGATGAAGATTCACCTCTCATGAAGAAGTGAAGACAGCGGTGCATTCGTGGCTCGCAGCTCAGCCTAAAACATTTTTTAATACAGGGATACAGAAGCTGGACAAAATGTATTCAAAAGCAAGGAGATTGTGTTGAAAACATGATATAGCTGTCTTTTCTAAAAGTTGATTAAATAAATTCTACAGCTAGAGTGGGATAATTTTTGACCCAGCCCCCAAAGTTCTGAAAAATCAGCCACTGAAAACTCTACGGTGCACAGTTCTACTCCAAGACACAAGGGGGCGCCACAAACAGAGCTGACTCCAAGCAACTGTGCCTAGCATCAATGTTCTCACAGAAGCATATCCAAAGACAGACTTGAGTGATGGATATAAAGGCCACCGTGGGGAGGAGACACATCTCCGCTCTCGCTTTCAGACACTATTCTTGAAGGACTGTTTCATGCCATTAAATAGTCTTTGATAAGATGATGTAAATGGCGGAATAAGGTGAGGCACATAATGATCAACTCTATCATCTATCTAGGTCATGCCATTATTATTGCTGTGACAAGACATGCTACTCTGAACATCTAAAATGTCTGAGCAAAATCTTTGGACAACTCTCTGGCTATTTCTTCAGATTTCTAGAAGTGGAATTTGAACCTTTTAAAGATTTACACCCTCGGAAACCCTGTACAGGGTCGCTATGGGTCGGACCCGACTCGATGGCACTTAACAACAACAACAACAACAAAGGACTTTAATTTAAATTCGTCACTGTCCAGAAATGATTGCCCTGAGATCATCTTTAAAGCTTAAGCCCCAAACATCCCCTGACAACATCTTAAAACCAAACAGTTGCTTAGCTTCCCAGTAAAGAATCTCTGCCTTGAACACTGTGCTCTTTTAAGAGCTATCTATATGGGCGCAGGAGTCCTGGTGTGCACTGGATGGCTAACCACAAGACTGACAGTTCAAACACACCAGTTGCTCCTTGGAAACCCTGTACTCAGTCACCATGAGTCCGAAACAACTCAATGACACTGATCTGCAGCACATGGGCTCAAAGGAATGACAGCAAGAGCAAAGACAAGACAGGAACACTAGGGGGCAGTGTTGTATGTACCTGGAGGAGGACAGTGAGAAGGCTGTACAGCTCAATGTCGGTGAATTGGCTTAACGGGTGATGCTTCTGCCGTTCATATTCTCAACAACAACACAACCAATTAAAATCATAATAAAAACATATTACTCTGAGCATTTAAAAATGTCCAAGTCAGGTCTTTGATAATGTCTCAGGTTATTTCTTTACGATAGATTTTTAGAAGTGGAATTGGTGGTGGTGGTATTGTTAAGTGCCATTGAGTCGGTTCTGACTCATAGCGACCCTGTATAGGGTTCCAAGGCATAAAATCTTCACGGGACCAGAAAGCTTCATCTTTCTCCTGCGGAGTAGCTGGCAGGCTCGAACCGCTGACGGTGTGCTTTGCAGTCGCGTGCTTATCGTATGGAATGAAGCCACACAGAATTATCAGGGTAGAAAAATGTATGGATACAGTAGGAACTTTACTGTGAACACGCCGTGTCTAGAAAAACTGTGCCCATCTGGTCTTCCCACCCCCCAGAAATGCCTGAGAGTAGCTTCTCCCTGAGCCCACCTAGATGACCAGTGCACGGAAAAGGAACAGCAATTTCAGAAGGAAAATGGTACCTCGTTATTTTAAATTGTGTTTCTTTGACAACTAAATCTCTCTACTTCTTGGATGCACTGCCTGCCCGTGACTGTGATATTTTTCGGGACCAGTGCGTGTCGTTAAAGTTTCCCCTGCATGCTACGGCATTCTGGGGCGGCCACAGAGCTAGTGTTACAGGGCATGCTCTCCAGATAAAGAGACTCATATTAAACAGCCGTATAGAACCTCCATGTTACCATCTGGGAAATTTGTTGGCATCCTCAGGTTTACGTACGGTTTCCTTTTCCAGCTCAAAAGCCTTCCAAGACACATCTCCATGCACCCCGAGAAGAGTTTGTACCTGGGCAGGAGGGTGGGCCACCCCTGCTGCTGTGGATTTTCCTGCCTCTCTGGAAGCAGGAACGGGACTGGGACTGGGCCTGGCCTGGTGAGCTCACCTGGAGTAGTCACAGAACACCTCCAGGGTCCTGGTGTCCAGCAGCAGGCCACACCAGGGGAACAAGCAGTGGGCTGGCAGCTGGAGAATGCCCGCCTGGCCTGGGCTGTCGTCCACGGGGAAATTCACCACCGTCTTCCACAAGTTGATCCTGCAGCCATACTCAGGGATGCCTCCGACCAGGGTCCTGGATCAGAGGGCAACGTCAGCCATCAGGTGAGAGGGTCGGTCCACTTGCTACATGTTACAAAAACTCCCAGATAGTCTGGGAAGCAGGGGTGCCAGGACTGGGCAGGGACCCCAAAGGAAGGGTCCTGCTCTGGACTTGGTCACTGGGGTTCATCCTGACCACGTGGCTGTGTGGGAGGGAAGCCACCGAGGCAAATGGCAGCAAAGGAGCCGAGCACTTAACCACTGTGCCACCATAGCTCCTTCCATGTAACATAGAAAGAGGACTGTGCTACGTTCTGTTACTATCAAGCCAATTCTGACTCACAGAACTACCCCTAAGACTGTAATATTGGATGAGGTGTTGGGCCGGTAACCGAAAGGCCGGCTGTTCAAACTCACCAGTGGCTCCTCGGGAGAAAGATGAGGCTGTCCGCTCCCATATGGATAAGCTTTAGTTTGGGAAACCCTAGACAGGGTCTCTATTGGTCAGAATTGATTCGATGGCAGTGGATTTGGTATGGGGTTCCATTCTTTAAGAAACAGACTGCCCCATCTTTCTCCCAAGGAGCAGCTGGTGGGCTTGAACTGACAACTTTTGTTCACAGTCAACCCCTCTAACCACTGTGCCACCATAACCTTTGTAAGCACCTGAGTGGAGCCTTCTAGGAAGAGCAGGACACACAGACACACATGGAGGAAGGACACACCGACACACATGGAGGAAGACAAATGCCAGGTGAAGTCCTGGCCAGAAACTAGGAAAGCCCACAGGGAACCTGACACTTAGAATGTTAGCCTCCAAAATGGTGAGAAGCTAAACGTGTAGACTTTAAACACCCCCACTAGTGAAATTTCCATTACAGCAGCATAGAAGATGGGCCACCGGACTCCCTGCTGCTACACTGCCCGGACGCTCCCAGCTATGCCAGCCCACACAGCACCCTCCTGCCTGTGGGCACCACCACACGGCCTCCTGACAAGGAATGCCAAGCCATATGGAGGAAAGGTGAGATTCCACTCGGAAAACTGGTGCTGAAATAAAACAGCTGTCACTTAATGATCAGGACTCCTGACAAGCCCACGGACGTCTGCATAGAACTGTGCTCCTCAGTGTTCCCAACAGTGGATTTGGGGGAAGATCACCAAGCCTTTCTTCTGAAGCACCTCTGGATTGGAACCTCTAACTGTTCAGTTAACAATCAAGCGCACTAACCAATGGCAACCTCCAGGGACTTAAGCTGCTGATTCATTTTGTCAATTAAACAGACTTCGCAGAAGCGTTTGTAGAAACATACGCACCTTAGGAAGGACTTAGCTTGTGTAAGGTGTGGTGTCACCAACAAAAAATCATCAACCAAGCGCAAGAGCAACCTACAGGAAGGAGAAAAAATGTACAAACCAAGTTTGACTTTCACCTTCTACATAATATTCATCTACCGGGGATCGAATGCAGAAAAAAGTAAATGTCTGAATTCACACAGACAAGAACAGAGTTCTACAAAGAAGTTCAATAGAAGTTCAATTTCTAATAGAGACACTCTACATTCAATTCTCCAAGCCCTCATCCCGTAACGTGAACCAGACACACAAGTGTAGCCGTGGGTCATTGGGGTGACAAGCAAGGTGTGGAGTCCTGGGTCCCGGGAAAGAAGACACCGGTGTATTTATCTAGTGACAGCTGGGTCTCCAAGCGGGGCTCGGGGTGCACAGTCTCATGGAACACTCAGGCCCAGATGGTATCCCCAGTTCCACATGGCCCACAAGTCTCTCTGCCAAGGACCCCTGGACTGTGGTCCCCACTAAGTGATGAGAGCACAGGACAAACCCCCTCCACATCCTGCCAGTCTGTCTTTGTTTCAACCGGGATTTTAAAGCGCAATTCAGAACCACCTTGATCAAGTAGAACGAGATCAGAAGCAAGGTGCTTTTCAGTCCACCACTGCCCACGGCACCCTCCTCAGAGCAGCCAACGGTGGAAACAAGCTTCGTCCATCAGCAGACTACTCAACAAGCCCAGTGTGGTACACACACACCAGCACAGAGCACTCAGTCAACAAAACTTTTGTGAATGTCTTCATCATTACTAGCTGTCGTCGGGTTGGCCCCCACGCCTGATGACCCCGCGCACATCCCCACAGGTGGCTACAATTCCGACCAGTGTGACCCACAGGGCATTCGTTGGCTGATGTTTGGAAGTAGATCACTAAGCCTGTCTTCCTGTTCCACCTCAGTCCAAAAGCTCTGCTGAAACCTGCTCAACAACAGAGTAACACATAATCCTCCACGGACAGGCTGTGTGTGACCTGCCTCGGCCAGGAAGAACCCGGGTCTCCCACACGGAAGGGGAGAATTCCACCACCTAATCACCACTGCCCCCTTGTGGAGGCCTGGAAGAGCGGGAACACCAAATGCACTGAGTTTCCCTGGATATACACCAACACTGTCACTCTGGGAGAGGGAAGAGGCTCGGCTACCCGTCATGCTGGGTGTTCAGAAGCAGCTTGTTCTCCATGTCCCCGTAGCAGAAGCTGCACAGCAGAGTGGACAGGATGGAGCCCTGCGGGATACCCTGGCACTGGACGTAGTACCTGCAGGGAGGAGCAGATGCAGAGTCAGAAGGGCGTGGACCACAGTGGGCGCTGTATGTATCACACACACACACACATGGATGACCGGTCATCAAGATGGACAGATACATAGGGAGGCACACAGATCAGCCGTCTGTCTCTCAGTCTGTCTGTTGTTGCTGTTGT